ATTTAAGCCGTCATATTTATTTCATCATTCATACAATTATCTTAAACCTCGAAATTACTTCAGCTATTTTGGACAGAATATGCATCACATAATAAATCCTGGTGGTCATTGGATATATATACACGTGGAATATGAATCAGATATAATTACATGTAATGTCTACGATTCATTGAATTCTTTATCTACAAATAATTTTATAATTCGCGTTGTGAGTGCTTATATTAGAAAAATAGTTATTACTCCAATAATATATTATCGGATTTGGAAAGTCACTAAACAACCTAATGCTAAAGATTGTGGAATACACGCTTTAATAAATATGGCCTATAACTTTTCTAATATTAACCCAAGTTCAAGAAAAATTTTAGATTCCAGCGATGTTTTAAGAAATTGTTTACGTCAATGGTATGAAACAGGAAATCCATCATTGCCAAACTCAGAAGAAATTGAAGAAACTATATTATTATCAAAAATTGTCAAATCACTACATTGTACATGTGCACAAACAGAAGATAATAATATGATTCAATGTAAAAATTGTGGTGAAAAATATCATCAAAAATGTTTAGATGTTACTATCACTGCAATTTCTGAAAATTTAATTTGTAACAACTGTCAAAATATTGATGTCGATTTTATTGACATATCTAATTAATTATATATATATTATTAAATGTTGTACTATTTGAATTAAGTAAATATAGAAAATAGTTATTTTTATTATATTTGTAAATTTTTTTGATTAATAATTTTAAATAAAATTTTTTAATTTTCATGTTGTCTATTCTTACTATTAGTAATGATAAATTAATAAATGTCAGGGAATTCGTATGGAAATGCTTTCTAGCATTCTCAACTGGTTTTATAATATATTATATTTTTTTTAAATCAAGTTTTGTATCACTTTTATTAACCATTTAAAGTATTTTCACTCAAAAAGTTTTTAGTTTTTTCAACTATTGATAGTAAGGTTTAAGAATAGTTTATAAGAAAAGTGTTTAATAAGACGTGATTCATATAAATTAATTATTTTATATTTTATTGAAATCAATTAGACTTTAATTTATTAAAATAAATCATACATTGACTACAAACATAACTGTTTATTATTGGGAAATCTCTTTTTTAAATTAAAACTATTTAAATTGTAATTATTTTATAACTTATAACTATTGTATTGTAAATTATATAAACTCATCAAAATTATAACTAGTGTCTTGATTTTCAACTAAAAAAAACTATTTTGTTTAAAGCTTATAACTGAGACTTATTATAGTATAGTTTAACTATAGTAACTCAATCTACTGTAATCACTGGACTGAATTTGAATCACTGATTTTGAAAAATATTGTACCAATATATGTAAAAATACAAAATATTAGTTATATATGAAACTAAAATCCATATTAATTTTTGTTACAATTGAAATAATTAGCTATATTTTTGTATATCATTACTGTAATTATGCTGAAAATCATTTTCAAATATTATAAAAATAAATAAATATTTGTTTTTTGGTAATTATTATACAACTATTGAGAAGTTTTTCTAAATTAAAATATATTTTTAAGTGATAAACGCCTGAGATTTAAACAAACAAAAAGTAAAATATTTTATTATCCAATCTAATCAAAATGAATTTAATTATTTTCTAATATTAAAAATTACTATTTCAATAACTATTTGGCTTTTTTAACAACTATTATGACAACTATTAAATACAATTTAAATAATTATTAATCAAGACTTAAGAAATTATTAATATGAGAAAAATTTTAATATTTTATAACATTTGAAAAAGATATTAATGATGTTTCGCTTAATTCAATGTAATATTACCTTATTTATAGGTGGGTTATATCTAATGCCAATCTAATCCTAATCCTAATCAATGCTAATCGAGTAAAATAAATCAATAAAATATAGCAAATAATGGAAATTGTCTTAAGTTTTTTATCAGTAATTAATGTGTTTATATGTGTTCACTTAGTTTCACATTTCTAAGTATTAAATAATTAGAAACCATTTACTATTGAAATTATCTTTTAAAATAAAAAAATAAAATTATTAAGCTTGATGATCTAATAATACATTAATGTAAGTAACATTTTAATGTATATATTACATGTTTTACAAATGTAAAAATAATGTAAATCGTATTAATAAAGTCGTAAAAATTGTACTTTAATTTATTACTTATATAAAATCTATACTATACATAATATTCAATATATAAATATATTTAAACTAAACTATTTACTACTAGTAGACTACTATTATAGATCTAGTGATATATTTATAACAAATACATTAAATTAAGATTATTATTTATATCTGGTATAAAAAAATTAGATAAAAATTAGTAATAATAAATACAATATGCATATTATGTACAGAATAACTATTTTATTTATTATCATATTATACATCAAAATTATGTACATATTAATTCAAAATTTATAATAATCAATATATAAATTTGAATAAACCTAAGAATAAAAAATTACTAAATTATTAATTTAAATAATGATTTATTTAAAATGTATATGTTATGTCAATTAAACTTTTCAATGTGATTATACAGTATATGAATGTATAGTATACTATATAATGTTTAATTTTTATAATTTTGTTTTACATTGACTTATAATAGTCATCAAAAATAATAATTTTAATTTCAATAATAAGAAACAATTTATGTGTCAAAATTCTATCGATAATAAATTTGTTGTAAACATTAATAATAAGTTACAGTATTATTAATAACTTAGTATTGAAATTTTTACACATTTATTGTGAGTCTTCTAAAACTTAATCAATAGTATTTAATTGACATAACTTTTTCAAGTTTTACTTATAATAATAGTTTGCGAAATATATGTTAAATCAATAAATTATTGGAAACATTCATATTATTTAATAATATTGTTTTTCATATTAACTGATCATATATTGAATAGTCATAAACAAATATACTATTATATTCAATAGTATCGACTAATTACACGTCAATACAATAAGTTAGGCATTTGATTATACCTCTGTTGTGTTGATGACATAAAGTATCAAATTTAAGAAAATAAAAAATATTAAAATTATAATATTATAACCAATAAATAACTAAAAAAAAGATAATAATAAATACATATTATTTTAACTCAAATTATAATTAAAGAGACAGTTATTTTAGAGTATTGTATTATGTCTTCACTGATCGACTTTAGGGGGAAATTATTAAAAGTTGCAACAAATTTGGTGCGAAATTACTTTAAATTGTTTGACAATAATTTATTGATATATTAAATAAATTTTATTAACTATTGTTTAGAGCCCTCCCTATGTTTTTCTTAAATATACAGATAAATGGGTTCTCACCGGAGGAATGGAAGTTAGACTTTTGGAGGCATTGGCCAAACATTTTAACTTTACATATGATATCATCAATTGTAACAGTAATTGGGGAATACTATCATCAAACAAGACATGGTCCGGACTTATCGGAGATATTGTTTCAAAAGTAATATTATACATAAATTTAAATATTAACTATTTGTTAGTTATATTATTAATAACTTTGAATAGAAGGCAGATCTGGGTTTGTCTGGTCTGACTGTAACCGCTCAGCGATCACAATATGTATACTTCACTGATCCACATATCATAACTTCGGTGACATTTATTACACCTCAACCTAAATCTCAATCTAAAGTCACATTAGTTATCGAGCCGTTTGATGCTATGGTTTGGGTTTCTGTGATTTTGTCTATAATTGTGGTGATAATCACTGAAATAATTATAACAAGAAAAATGAATACAATTAAGATAACTGATATCAAATGGGCTATTATTATAACTCTTCTAAGACAAACATTTTCAACTAATTTGCCAAATGTTTTATCTATAAGACTTCTAATGAGCTTCTGGATGTTGGCCTGTCTTGTATTGACTGCTAGTTATAGCGGTTGTCTATACTCTGAGATGGCACTTCCTACCAGAGCTAAGCCTATTAATACATTGATTGAATTAGCCGACGCTCAGCGAAATGGACTAATTCAGGTGACGGCTAACGGAGGTTCAAGTTATTATGACTCACTTAAGGTATCCATCAATTTAAATATTTCTCTAATATAGTATTATTTAATTATTTTTAAAAAATATGAAATATATATATATATATAGAATGCAAAGTTTGGTGTATATAAAGAGATCGGTTCGTTAATCCAACCGGTGCGGGACAAGGATGCCGGACTCAATATTGTAATTACTGCCATAAAACCTCACGCATATATCTCAACCAGAGATCACTTATATTATGGATTACTAAAGTTTGGATCAAAAGTATTTCATTTACCGCCAGATTCTGAAGAGTCCACTGTTTTTCTCGATGTTATGGCTATAGCTTTGCATAAAGACTTCCAATACAAAGATATTTTTAATAAATTGTAATCATTATTATCATTATTACTCATCAAAAGCAAAACAATTTAAATTAAATAAAATGTTGTTAATTGTACAGAATATCGGACCTGAAAAAGGGTGGTTTTATGGACTATTGGCGTCTAACAGAAAACAGAAAAATTGTGGTAAATGAGGCTCAAAGACTCAATGATGTCAATGACCACAGACAACATGAGATCTTATTTGTCGATCAATTGCAAAGTGCTTTCTATTTATTATTATTAGGACTTAGTTTATCATTTAGTTATCTAATTATTGAGATTTTAACACATAAAAAATTCAATAAACAAAATAATAAGTCTATTACTAACTATAATAAATAATTTATATAACTGTAAAATATAACATAATTTATTATATTATAAAAAATATATCATATTTGACAATTTGTGTGTGCGATAAAAAATAGATATCAATATAAGTTAACCGAGATTATCAAAGTTTCATAATTTTGTGTTTATTTTAATTATAAAAGTTGTAATATTAATGTGTTTAAACAGTTGCCGTTATAACAAACAATGATATAATAACTTTTCATTACATTAATGTTGAGTATATATGCCGTGAATGGTTGCGGGCACGTGAGCCTGAGTCCGATAAATTTCAGCTCTGGCCACCTCTTTGAATGACTTGCCGTCCAAAATAAGAAGAAAATGTGGTTTAGTCTCATCCGAGTCCAATACAATACACAATATGACGCCATCGTCTTCATCGACAGCATCGGGTCGGCCTATAAACATACATTCGCCCGGATATAGTGTCTCCGACTCCTTCCAGATGACTGCCTCTTTAGTAATGACATCTAATTTGCATATCTAAGTACATAAAGTTTATAAATTTTATATTTTAATAATAATTTTATGAAAAATAATGAATAATTTACAGCATTGGCGAAGTGTCCTCTCTCGAAAACACCACTTCCATAACAAAATCGATACTTTCTTCCATTAAAATGTTTATAATTAATAGTCGGTAATTCAAATCCGGGTAAACCTATCTGTTCGGGTATAATCCAAACGTTTTCCTTATCATTGAGCTCAGCCTTTGCCTCAGTGTTTGCCAAAGAAACCAAATTTTTTCCGGACTCAAACTGAGACATCAAATAAAGCTCATAAAATATTTTGTATTATAAATATTTTTATACCTTTTCATGAGTCGGAAGCGGTAATACATAACGGCGAGGAATGGGAGGACTATTAGAGTCCCATTCATTAGATCTGAGTTTATCTATTGTCCATTTGTCGAGAATGGATGAGTCGTCATATGTAATGATATCGCAAACAATATGATTATTGTCTTCATATGCGTTGATGTGATGAAAATGAAATATTGATTCTGAATGATATTTATGAACTACATGTCCACTTGATTTGTCGACCACATAAAATTTAGTCTTCAATTAAGTAATCAAAATATATAATTATGTATAAACACAGTGTATTTGTTCAACTTTATACCTTTTCCTCGGGACACCACTCGAAGCAATCTTTTAATGGTTTTCCCTTTGGAGTACAAGTGGCCAGTTTGAAGCCATTCACAAGTAATGGTTGCTCCAAAAATATAATATAATTTTCAGTTATGGCGTAACTGTGATAATAGGTTATGCAAGTTGTCCAACTCGATGGTATTGTCACCAAAATAGATGCATTTTTTAAAGCACTATCATCTATAGAAATACATTTTATAAAAACTAAATTTATACACAAAAAAAATTAAATACCATTATTGTCACTGAGTTTTTCACTTGTTTGTTGGACAGGTATTTTAATAATATGATATTTAAGACCCTTTAAGAAACTTGATGTCAAATTATAAGAGTAGGGCTCGGGATACATGTATTGGACGTGAGCACTGGCAAGATTGACACCGACTACTTTATCCAAATTTATCTAATAATAAAAAACTAAATTAATTTTTATTAATACATTTAACTCATTGAATACTTTTTCTTTGGCTGAGAGAGTATTGCTATCAAATCTCCAAACATTTGATGTCTCTGAGGCCGCGTAATACTCATCCCGGAGTCGATATATGCCAACACAACCGTTGTCTGTGAGATCGCTCGGAACTATTTGCGAGAAGAACCGGGCGAACACGTTCTTACACGGGTCAGGATAGGCACGGGTGCCAAACTCGGTATATACCGGTTTCTTTACGCTTATCTATTATTTATGAGATAATTATTTTTTAAGTTATTAACTATTATTTGTTTTAATTTAAATAAAAATCATTTTTAAACCATTTTGTTATAGGCATCAGATTCAAGAAACTTTGATTTGTAATAAATTTTTCCATCAGTTATCGTAAATTTACATAACATTGCACAACCATCTAACCAATGATTAAGATTAAAATCATCGTCCAGATCCCATTTGCCTGGACCAATACGGATTATATGACCATTTAACCATGATGGGATATTGCCTTCATATAATAAAAATAAAAAATTAAAACTTAGACTTAAACATTCAAACACTGCCGAAAGCAAAAATAAACATTTAGTATTTAAAAGAGCTCAAAATATTACATAATTGTATGTAAATAACTATAATAAATAATAAGTATAATTATATTGTATAAAAACTTTGTAAACAAACTTTTATTATATCATTTATAATAATATTTTTGTTGTAAATAATATAATTAAATATATTATTTATTTACATTTTTTATTGAATATATACAGTAATTTTAGTTATAAAAAAATAAATTGTCAAACCTTTAACATTTGCCAATACATCACTTTCACATTCGTTGCATGATTTCAATAGTTTATCCATAGTTTATATAATATACACAAATTTTTAATCAAATTAAAAATATTTACAAATTAGTTTTTGATTATCTATATTAGTAAAAAAAAGTATTATATCAGTATTAGTTGATTATTTATAAAAGTAATATACAGTATAACTAATATTTTGAAAATATTTAAAATAGAAATGAATGACATGAACGATGAGTCCAAAAATAATACCATTGATTGAGTGGCAAAACTAGTTTATGAAAAACTTTTATTTTCGTATAAAACTAGTATTTATTGTTAATAATAATAAAGGTATTATGGTTTTCATATTATGAAAACTTAAAATAGTAACAAAAAAGAGGTCAAAAGCGAGAGCATAAGTATGGCCTGAAATGGACAGTTAGATAAACTTTAAGTTACTTTTTATATAATGAGTTCTTATATTTAGTTCAAACAATTTCATTGAATACAAACTAAAAACTTAAATTTTTCTTAAGCTGTAAATAGAAAATCAAAAATATTTGTAATAACAATTTAATGATATTTTTTAAAATATCTTTAGCGAAACTTTTTACATTTTAATATATCATACAATTTATTAATTAAATTCAATTTACAATTACTTTTAGTACAAAATTCATGAATATTAATTTGTTTTATAGAATTTAATATATTCTATATACAGTATTATTAATACATAAAATAAAATTGTATATCAATTAATTTTATTATCAGTTATTTGTTTATTAATTTAATATTATAAAATAACATATATGAATAAAACTAATTTGTTAACCATAATAACCTAATTGATGTATTGGATAATTGTTATTAAATTGATTGAATGGTTGCTCGTAGTTATCATAATAAGAGTCGTATTGATAGCCATTATATGGTATATTGTGATTAGGAAAATGAATTCTGTGTTTAGAGCCGTATATAAATGGTCTGCGATTGAGATCATAGGATACGACACAAACATATTTGGTATTCAATGCTATCAATGATAATATTATCGATATGTACTAAAAAATAGATAAAACATACAATTTTATAAGTTTGCTATAAATATATAACTTACCGAAACTATGGACAACATTTTTGAACAGTACCTACAATTAATTGAGATTAAAATAAAATTTTCTAACTTTGTATGATAGCTATTTATATCAATTGTATCAATAATCAATCTATTGTTTTTTAATGCCAAAAAAATATCATCAAAATAGATTAAAAATTATTATATTTATTATTCTAAAAAAATATTTCGTTTTAAATGATTTTTTTTATAAATTAGGTTAATATAGGCGTTACAATCATTATATGTGCCAAATATTAAAAACTTATATTATTTCTATTATTATAAATTATTTAAATAAAATTTTGTTTTTAATATATATAATATTATTATTTATTTATATCATCAAAATAATTCATATCATACGATCATATTGAGTACAAAATGATGTTTTGTATGTTTATTAAATATATTTGTCAGAAATTGTTGTTAATATTTAGTAATACAGTATTTACAAATTATAATATTATACATAATTACAATATTATGAAAAAATGTATAATTTTATCTTAAAATTAATAAATTATAATAAATACTAATTTTAATAAAATATAACTCATAAAATTAATAAATTAAATAAACAGTATATAAAAATATAAATTTCACACATTGAATATATTATTGCTTAATTATCATTAAAAACGATAACAATTATAAACAATGATTAATCTGACATTAGTTTACGTCAAAATTGATATAATATGACAAATAAATATATAAATGTTTAATAAAAAATTTTCATAATAAGTAAACATTTAGTAAAAAATAAATCTAATCCGTGATTGAAATGCTTTTTCAATATAACAAAAGTTTATAAAATTAGATAATTAGTTAAAAAATGTTTAGTCAATTGCAGTCTACAGTATATATTGCATCCAAAGTCAGTCATAACCAGTGATATCACACGTCATATGTGTTTATTTGACACAACAAGAGAACGAAGAGAGTGAAGAACAGCGCAAAAGCTGTTCTCATATCACGTGAGAAGTGCTCTTCAGAGGAGTTGTTTAAAAAGTGTGTCACAAAACTAGTCTATGGTTTTCATTGACAGACCAGTGGTTACCTTTAATTATCATATATTATGCTCTCATTAATTATACACTAACTTTGCATGACTGAGATGTCTGATAATTTTTTACCACACATCTGATCCATCAATTAATTTATTTCAAACGATCATATCATCAGAGATGGAGAATCATAGCGAAGAAAAAATTGATTATATTTATTGTTCACAAGTGTTGAAGTCATTGGACTACAGTAACTCTGGTATTATTATTATTATACTGTAATTTGATTTTAACATAATCAAATACTAACTGTTCATATCTTCCACGTATTCAAAACTTCCAACACATCCAACAGTTACCTCACCGGCAAAATTGTCAAAGAATCTCAAGTTAAGACCTCTTCAAACTGATGACTATCATAAAGGATACCTTGAATTGTTGTCTCAGCTAACAGATGTGGGAACAGTCGATGAAAAACAATTTATTGGTAATACAACGGCACAAATATAATTGTCAATCAATATGTATTGATTACCACTTTTTCTTTCTGTTAATTGATTTTTGTCTTTAAAGAGCGCTTCAATCAAATGAAAAGCGACGGAAAGTATTACATTACAGTGATTGAGGACTGCGACCGAAATCGGGTTATATGTTCGGCCACTTTGTTCACTGAATACAAATTCATTCACAACGCATCCAAGGTTTGCGTCTTAAGATATTTTTTTTAATTTTATTATTATATCTAATAATTGAATTTATCTCTTCATATCTACAGAGAGCCCGAATAGAGGACGTAGTGGTGGACAGTGATTATCGCGGCCAACGATTGGGTCATTTGATTATCGAAACTCTTAAACTATTGGCACAGAAGTTGGACTGTTATAAGTTGACACTCGACTGTCGCGATGAGATGATCGGGTGGTATAACAAACTGGGTTTCATAGCCATACCCACCCGCGCTAATATGCTTACCATTAGGTTTATTAGTTGATTATATGATAGTACTAATTAGATATATACAGTAAATGTTATTGAAATTTTGATATTATTTTTTTATATTGTTTTATTGTTACGATTTTGATGAGATTTTATTTTGTTATATTATAATAATAAAATTGAAATAAATGCATAGAATATAAAAATGAAAACTATGTGTATTTTTTCATAAAATATTAATAATTTTAAAATTGTATGAGAAAAAATGTAAAATCTGTGCAAAATATTTTCATATTAACTTATTAAACAAATTGCATAACAATTATCATTTAAAGAGAAATATTGTGTAATATTTACTAAAAATTTGCTAAAAATTCTGTAAAATGTTGCTAAAGATCAGATATTTATAGAACAAATATTTATTTATTATTTTCAAAAATATTTTAAATGTTTTCTCAAAATATTGTAAATATAACTAATATGTCTTCATCTAATATAAATTACATGATGATAAAGCAATTTGATACAATTTAATAAAAATTAAAATTATTAATAAAGTTTTAACTATATTAAAAATAATAACTGACTTAATTTACAATAAAATTTAATGTGATTATATCTAAAATTTTAGAAATTAAAAAATATACTGAAAGTACTGTTAGTTATGACCAGAAATTGTGTTAATTTCTTTTTTTCAACATTTAATTATTTAAAAGTCTAAAATTTATCTTTTGTTAATTATAAGATAATTGTTCATCACTTAAGATAGCTTTAACTTTATAATTTGTTAGAATAGTATTGTTTTATAAGTTATGTTTTAATACATTACTTAACCATCATATCAACTATCATTATTACCAAACTTAAATTTACTATCTTTTAATGTCTCATTATAATCACTGATCACATAGTATTGGATATCTAAGGGTTTACAACAATCCAAGTGAAACTGTATAATTAATTTGATTAAATTTTGGTTATAGTTTATAAAACTTAAATTTTGAAAATAGTTAATTTAATAATTTAATGTACAATGATTCAATTGTAATTGACAGCAACTACCGTGTAAATGTAAATTGTATATCACATGTAAATAATACTAAACATTTTTAAAAAATTAGTGCAATTATATCTAGATTAAAATAATCTTCTACATAATAATATCTACTTATTAAAATAAAATTATTAATATTTGAATTTTTATCTTGAAATCTATACAATTTCAATAAAATAATCAATAAGATAATAAAATTAAAAACCTGAAGATTGCAATATTTGACATTTAAGTTACAATATTTATTTATTATTTATTGTTTAAATTGATTTTTATTTAAACATGAAGTCATTTTACTTATTTTAGTTAATTATATACTATTGTACTGTATTTTTTATTGTTGTTGACCTTGATAAGTGTATAAATGCACACAAGGTAAAAGAGCTATATATACCGTATATATATACCAAATAAACTTAATTGCTATAGAAATATAATATCTTATTTATAAATAAAAATACACTAAATTATACCAATAAATATTCCACAATTATTTTTCAAGTGTCAAATAATGTGTGTTATTTGCTAAATTTGTAGGTAAAGTATCTATAGATAATATAACATAACAAATAGTTAATTAATAAAATGGATGACACAAATAAACGATGTTTAGTCTGTGAGGATAAATCTAATGGTGAATACAATTTCGACAATAATATTGATTATAACAATTTGATTAATTATTTGTACTTTAAGGCCGTAATTTTGGAGCACAAACTTGTGAATCATGTAAAGCATATTTTAGAAGAAATGCCCATCGATTTGAAGTAAACGATAAATATTATCCTAAAAATGTTAAAATAATGAAATAATAAACTAATGAAATGATAATATTTAAAAAAATAGGAATACGAGTGTAAAAATGATAATAAATGTACTGTAAGTCTACTTACCCGTACATTTTGTAGGGCTTGTCGTCTCAAAAAATGTTTTGATGTCGGAATGAGAGAAGTAATTTATTTATTTATTGAAAAAAATTATTTTATTAAATTATATATTTTTCAAAAGGATTGGATTATGAGTGACAGTGAAAGAAATGCCAGAAAATTAAGACTTAAAAAAAGACAAAAACTTGAGGAAAATGATACTAAAAACGATTGTTCGCAACAAAGTTACGATTCTTTGTCAGATTCGTCATCTAATTCTGATCTATCTATCAAATCGTTATCTAATGATAAAAGCAATTCATTAGTTGTTTATAAAAACTTAGAAAATAATTTGTTTAACGACGACAATGATTGCGATTTATCTGAATTTCTGATATTTTCTGTTCCCAAATCAATAACCGATTATAACAATTGTTTTAATGAAAAAGAGTTCAGTTATCTGAATGAGCTGTTGTCGGCCACTCAACACTTGCAGCGAAATTTCATTCCGATAGTGACCACTGAGTCCACAAATTTGGAGACAATATTCACATTTATTTTAAACAAAGGAGAGAGTGATATGTCTAAAATGATTACCGTTTGTAATAATCTTCGAGCATTTAAAACCATTTCTGATGACAACCAGATCTGTCTTCTTAAGATAGGTTTATTGCAAATGATTTTATTGCGATCTATTGATATTTACGACAAACACACAAACTCTTGGTGTGCTTTTAAGGTATATTTTTTTATTAAATACAACTAAAATATTATTTAATTTATTAATATTTTAGACATTCATTGATTAAAAATTTTTAATAGGATAACGAATCGATGAAAATTAATTTGGAATTTTGGAAATGGAGTAATAAAACTTATATTTATTCATTATATGAACAATACTATGAAAATACATTCACCGCATGGGATGGCGATCCCATTATTATCGATATGGTATCAATTGATTACTTGCAATATCTATAAAATTTGCTTTTATTGTTAAACACTTAGTATATTATATACAAAATATAAACTATTCATAGCTTTGCTTATATAATAAATAAGTTTTTAGTCACCATTTAGACTACTTTAAGCTTATAATCTCTAATTTATAGATAATTACCGGTAGTTTTAAATATATTTATATACAGTATTATACCGTATAAGTATATTATTTGAGTAAAAATTTAATACTAATAGTACACATAAATTAAAACTTACATATAATTATTTTTATTATTTTTATAGCTAATGGTTATACTGCTTTTCAATCCAAACAGAAATAATTTGACGGATAAAGTAGTTGTAAAGTAAGAGATTGATTATAATTATTGTCTAATTGTTTGTATAAATAAATATTAAATTGTTGTTATTTTAATCTCAGATTACAACGAAATATTTATGTATATTTACTTCGACGATATCTAACAATTAAATATCAGTCAGAAATTGAGGCAAAGAAAAGACTCTTAGTTTTAATGAAATCATTGAAAATTGTTGAAAATTTGGGTTTAATTCAAGCGACTAATTATATTAATCACAGAAATCAACCGCAAAGTGATCTTAAATTAATGAATGAAGTTTGCAGTATTTAAAGTACATATGTTTTACTACTTATTGTATTACGATATACACTGTATATTGTTTATTATACTGCATTATTGTTAATATAAAAATCATATAATTTTAAAAAAAATATGCTATCAATCATTATAAAACTTACTACAGTATTACAGTTATGTAATATATAAATTTATAAAAGTATTTTGTTTTTCAAAAATTTAATGTTCTGTATATTTGAGTTATTTTTGTATTATTATTGTTCCATAAAACTTATTTGACTAGTTTTAACATAAGTTTTTTATACATAATAATACAAAACTGATTGTAAAATTCAATAGTATATACATAGCTCCCACAGAAGTGAATTTTACAATCAGTTTTGTATTATTATGTATAAAAAACTTATGTTAAAACTAGTCAAATAAGTTTTATGGCACTAAACATGTTATCAATTATCACTTTTAGTGGTCACTCTCTCACCGTAAGTACCTAAAGACCAACAGTGCTGTCACTAATGTACAGCAATTGCGCTGATGAAGGACAGAGACAATTACTGTCCGAAACAATATTGCAATAATTTGTCCGCAATTAAGGCCGAAGACAATAATCGGCTAAATATATGTCACAAATTGTGAGTAATTAAAGTTTTATATATACCTAAATTAGCTTTTACTATAAATTTAAATTATTATTATATCTACAAATTATGTTTTAGACATTCAAAATAATAGAAATGGTCTTAAGTTGATCCAAAGTCTCTCCATTTGTGTTCTTTATGGTAATAGTGTTCGTAGGCGTGCTTTTCAGTCCAATTTTGGTCTCTCATAACACCGACGTAATCAATCTCAAGACTGAAAGGACCGGTAGTGTTATCGGCTAACATGAAGCCCACCTGTGATACTGAATGTAAACATATGGGAAACTGTTGGTCCTGAGCGTAACCCTTGTGTTGGAAATAAAATCGCGAAAACGGGATCTAAAAATAATTGGGAAATTTAATAACTTGGGTTATAATTACCGGTACATCTCATTAGTACATACTTTACACCACTGCCAATAGGGTCCGCCGTGTGTGTAGAGGACATACTGGTACCGATCAAACCACGTTACGTCCATTTTATCATCGGATACATTAAGCACAACAATCCAGTTTCTGCCGTCACCGCGACACCTGACCAGTAGATGTGTAAATCCCGTCCAATTAAAGTAGTTCTGTCTATGAAAAGAGCGTCGGTGTCGTTCACACCCGAGGAAAGCCCAGCCTGCTTTCATTATCTCGCCGTCGTTCGGCAACTTTGTGTCGATATAGCCGTGAAATAGTGAACGACCTGAAGGTGATACTGTCCAATCACATCGGGAATAACCTGTTATAAGTAATGTTAGACTAATTGGTAATTTAAATGATAGATTTAAACTGAAGTGTAACCTTCGTTATGATCTGAATCACAGGCCGTCCTCCACCTCTTCATGTCATTCATGATAACTCCTCTGTTAAATGTATTACAATAACTACTTATGCGGTCATTATTTCTTTGGTTAAAATCCCAGTATTTGATGATTTCTTGGTCTTCATAGAAGTCAGTGGTGTTATCCAAGCCATACGTATCTCTCATTTCTTGTACCCAAAGACTAGTCTCTTGTTTGATGGTTTTGACACTCATCTTAAGTTTGTCCCATTCGGACAATTGTTCCCAATTCTTGTCGCGCTTTTCTTCATACTTCTTGTGTCCCGAAAGATATGGCTGATACAGACCCGCACCTGTATGTGGCCGTACGGCATATATGTTAACCGATTTTATATGCGGACACCTATTGGCGGCCAACACACCGGTGGCCACCAATCGCTTTAAAATCATATTTTTATTAACACGTGATTAATATATAAACAAATACAATAACATTATGTTCTTAAAAGTCAATTGTTTTTCAAACAAATATTTTAATAATATTATTGTTAAGCAAACAAACACTACATCTGGTGTCACATATGCTTACAATTCATAATATATATAACTTTTTTACGCTTAATGTTATGCAATCTCTCATTTACTTTACATTATGATTATTATCATCAATACATACTATACTCATTAAAATGATAATTATTTTACTAAAATCTGCACAATTATACACAAACATCAACTTATACTTACACTTATCCGGTCCCACAATATATATATATATATATATATATAACGTAACTATATATACCGGTATAGGATATCCCATATATGACATTCATATGAATAATATATAATATTTTTGATAAATATAAATATACTAAAGCTATATAGTAATATGTATAATTATTAATTATATATTGTATATAAGTTATATATCTTATATCTGATATATAATGACTTTAATGAATTAATAATGTTATGATATGAGTGATATAATATCATATTACACAAAGATTATGCACACACTTTTATAATTTTATTATTATTATTAAAATTACTATTTAAATATAATACTACTACTACTATCTAAATACTTTTACTACTACTGTAGTACTATATTTAATTATTATCATCTAATTACTATTACTATTACTACTACTGTAATTTAAATACTATAAATTAAGATCATATGATATGAGAGGTCAATGAACTTAAACATTAATGATCTTTTTGTCGACAAAATGCAAACATTTATTATATTGATTACAACCAACTGTGTGGTCATTAAAAGTGCACACATTTTCAAATGTCGTTTATTTTGATTAAGATTATCATAAAATTATGTGTGAAATGTATAGAAAGTACATTAAATGACATAAAATGATAAAAAATTCATTTTTCAAATAACTTATTTATTATAAACTTTTTATTATATATTTGAGCTAAATATTTCTATTTATTTTTTCTTAATTTCAGTAATAATATAAAAACTGAAAAATTATTGCTTTACAAAATTTTAACAAAGCTTTTTTGGGGTATAAATAAAAAAACTCTCTAACTTTAACGTATAATAAAATTTGTTTTGCCCTAAAAATTCAATTTTAAAATTGTTTATTTAATAAAAATATATAAGGCGTACGAAATATAATGTGAAAATGAATATAAAAAATAAATATAAAAAAATGTTGAGTAAGGGGTGCAGTGTTGGCCACAATACGACTAACGGGCGGCGCTTCGTCTGACTGTTGAAATTGATTGTTATTAAAGACATTGAATTTATTGTCGACTTTATTGTTATCGTTGTCTAAATGTTTTTCCATTTCTGTAATTAACTGTAATTCTCGTCTATTATTACTATTATCTTCTAAACTATTTTCTAATTTTTCCTCTAACTCTTCATTAGTGTCTTTACTGTTGACAACATTAGCAGTACTGCTGTCGTAGTCATCGATGAGATGATCGTCATTGAGATTAAGTACTTCTTGTTGGAAATACGGCTGATTGTAATTTCTGAGATCTCGTTCATTCAATTTAAAGAAATCCCTATTGATTTTCAGTGGTTCGCTGAGTGACCCGTGAAGGAAAGCCCTATCCTATTAGACATACATACAGACATACAGTTGCAATCAAATTAAATAATAATAATAATAATAGAGTAAAATAAAGCGCTTATTGTTTTTAAATGCAATTTTGTTTCAATCTTTTGTGACAAACTCTAGGGATTTCCCATTCTGTCACTGAAAGGGAAAGCATAACACATACCCATCCCATTGGCAATGAGTTCATTAGCGGGACATTCACTTTCCAAATGTGATACTTATTATTATTGAAAAATAAATGAAAACTATGACTTCGGTAATCATAATAAGTGGCAGTAATTGTATCATTGATTTTCATCCATTTCTGGATATCATAAGAAAATCGGAGATCCATTTTATACGGATCTATAACTGACATCTTTTTGCCTAACATTGTGAGAGTATTAGGAAATAACAAATGATTAAACATTAAAAAACAAATACAATGAGTGAGTCATCACTGGATAATGACTTTGAGCACTACCTGTGCTGAAGGTATACCTTGAAAGAAGACCCAAAAGCCTTCGTCCTTATCTTTGGATCTGTTCCTCCACGTGGCCGAGTCTATCGGCACAGTTAGGTCCAGATCTTTAAATGCTGAATACCATTGCTTATTGACTGGCAAATGACAAAATGTATTGCGAGTGTCGTACTGTCCGTCAAACTCCTGACACGCGACGCGTAGGCCTTTCCTCGACTAATCAATCATTTTATTTATAATAATATGACAAACATTTTAGTTATATATTATATATATTGTAGTCACAAATAATAACATAATAATTTACAAACTTTTTTATAAATAGTTTTATAAATTAATTCTAATATAAAACGAAAATATAACCATAAAATAAAACTTTAAAAACCAATAATTATGTAAAACTAAAAACCATAAAACTATATAAATAGTAAATAAAAACAATTGGATTAGAAAATTGTAGATAAAATTATTCAAAAATATAGTTAAGTGACTCACATGAGACACAAGAAATATTTTGGGATCCACTTCGTTGATTGGATCGGTAAATATGGCATCAATTGTCTTAAACTTCGGAAAAAGTTGTGTCACACGTCCCGCAACATTATATTGTCGCGGGATTTGCCATTCATTGAGTACCCAATAATATCCGTTACTGACGACAATCAATGTATTATTAGGTAGTCGTGTGATGGCATCGATACGACACGAGTCGTACCGAAAGTCAGTTATTTCATTAATATTATAATTATTTGCTGATCTCTTAATTGGGTTATCACTGAAACAGTCGGTAATATATATGTAAAATAATATTAAATGAAGTATAAAATGCAAGAATTTGTTCACAGAATTCATATTCACATTGTTTGACGAGAATCTCAATTCAATACACAAACAGAATATTATATACTTTATAGTGTTATATATATATTAATGCATTAGTTTTCCAGTGATTCACTGTTTGTCACACAATCGCTATGTTTGTGAGTGAATAGCCTTTTGCCAGACATATGCTCTCAAACCAAACATTTTATTTATTTTCAAACATCCTATACATTGCATGCTCTATAACTTACAGACTATACGCAGTATTTATATACACACAGTATATACTATATACTGTATAAATGTTTGTTTTTTAATTATTTTGCTATTTTTTCGCATTCAATTCAATAGATGGCAAACACTAAGTTATTCAATTAAAAAAACTTGTTTTACATATGTATTATTTACATTAATTTCAATTTTACTTATTTTTTAGTACAACTGTAATTCGGAAACATTACATACATATGTAGTGTTTTACACTTACAACTTAATTATAATTTATAAAATTATCGTTTAGAAAAACATGTTAAATAAAATTACTGTATTATCATATATGAATTTGTCAACCACTTGAATAAATAGAAAAATTTGTATAATTTTACTTAAAAATTATCATTTCATAACAAAAATTTTGAAACTTTGAAAAATTTACACATATATTATTTAGAGAATTGTATAAATTATTATAATTTATAAAAAACGATAAAATATTTATGATAAAAAATTATTTGTTATTATTATTTTGTTAGTTAAATAAAAGTTAAATAAAAAAAAGTTACAAATGTTGATAATTTTTAGACAAAATGCACACAACTTCACGATTATTAGAGTTTTCGGTCTCAAACAACATCATTGACTGTGAATCACAATTGTGTCGACAGTTACTCCAATATACATCTATATCTATATACTGTATCTGTATTTTTGGTTACTATTTTTTAAACATATACTTATTGGGTGTGTGAGAGAAACACTTGCTTTGCATAAAACATTAATTTAAAATAAGTTTTTGAAGTTTTAGACACTACATAAATAAATAAAAATATATATATTTATATATCTCAATATTCAAAATAAATTGTACTATTTATTATAGCCAGTAATAGTATTTATACATTATATAGAATATAAATATATTTTGTATCCTAATATATTATGTCTAAATCTGCAAAAACTTAATGTTTTTGTGTAATATGAGTCTCTCTCTCTCTCTCTCTCTCTCTCTCTCTCTCTCTCTCTCTCTCTCTCTATCACCCGTCAAATGCCCAAAAGTTCCCAAAAATAAATGAGAGGTCTGTAATAGTCTGTATCAATACAATTGAGAATACCATTGACTGTTCCCTACATTCACTGTAGCGATAATGGGCTCAGATTAAGACCACAAACACTTGGGTGTGACTTATAGGCATTTTTCAACAATTAGTATATACTGTGTATAGAAACTAATGTGATTATAAACGATACCACCGGTGACTGACAAATAACTTACTAAAGTATGTTTGAATATATTTGGGTATATTTTGTAAATAAGTAAATAAAGTAATTAAAATTTGGTAAATAAAATAATGTTATAAAAATATAATTTTAAAACATATTTGAAAATCATGCTAACAATAATTATCAGCAGTAGACCCATATTAATGATTAGCAAGCATATTTGTTTGCATGAAATTACCACATTATTTTGTAAGCATAATTTACCAATATATATGCTTATATGCAATTTACTATTTATTTAGATAATAAAAAAAACATTACAATATTATGCGAATCATATATTGAAACATACAATATATACTGTACTATATTTATTATGTGTTTGTGTTAGATGTCTGACAATAATAATCAATGACAGAGTCTGTAAATTATAAATATAAAGGAATTAATGGTTTTTATATCAAAACTGTTGTCTACAGTACAGTACTATACAGTATATTGAGACTCAACACGTCATCCCTATTCTGATGTTTTTAAGCATTCAAAGCACAGTTTGATAACTAATATAATATTATACTTCTAATGGTTAGTTCATTAAACTATATCCATATATTCCATATGTTTTTCATATTCAATGACTAACTGTTAGAAATTGTGTGTTGAAATTGCCTTAAAATAGTGTGAAAACATCAATATTTAACTACAAATCGATAAGCAATTATTTAAACAAATGGCAACTAATTCACAACAAAATACATCCAAAACGGTTCTCATAGAAAACGGACATCAGGTGAGAGTCTATGCCATGTCTGGCACTTATGTTGTTATATATATGTACTCTACATATAATATATTTACATTTGCAATGTTCAGTACTACTGTGTGTATATGTTAATAAATACATATTTTTTGAAAGCAAAATCATACAGTATTTATCTATGTATATAATCAATGACCCATTTAGTCATTGATTTGCCGTTTAAGCTTTGCACTGATGCCACTAAAAAAAACTTTGTTTGTTTGTATAGTGATTGTATTGTTTATGTGATAAAAGTGTTGTTTAATTTTCATTGAGATAACCATCAGTTATAAGTGAAGGACGAAATGATAAATTTTGAGAAAAAATAGATATTTTGTTTCAAAAATAACAATTGCCTTATTTTTTTGTGGTTACAGAATATTAATAACGATTTAAACCGCAGTTACGGTGCTATAAATAATAGCATTTCATATGCAAGTCATATAAGCGATGATACAAATAAAAGTTTGATTAGTAAAGCAACGACTGGTGTATATAATGCCGGCGCCGGTGTTGTCACTTATGGCTTGGGAGGCATCAAATGGGTACTATCGTCGACCACAAGCGTCGGTTCGACTGTTTTAAGTGCCGGCACTGCAGGAGTGGTACAGTTGAAGAAGAGGGCGTCAAAAGATAAAAATGAGTGATTACTGTCACTAATAATAATACCAAATATTACAACAAATTCATAGCTGAAGTCAACACAAATTAGTTGATTTTTTACACTCATTTTTACAAGAAAAAATAGAGAGAGAGAGAGAGAGAGAGAGAGAGAGAGAGAGAGAGAGAGGATAAAAATGAATAGAAAAATTGAGCTATAGTTAAATATAGTTAGTTAAGTATAGATTTAAATCATGTTTATCTAGACTTTATTTATATGATTTTTATATATTGATAGTCCTTAGAGTAACTTTTGAATTTTTTGTTGATAATTTATAGTTATTTTAATTTTTCTAGTTTTTTAATTTGTTGTAATTTAAAATTATTATATTTTATGTTTTTAGACAATTGTCTTAAACTAATCTAAAATAGACTTATTTCCGTATATAATCTAACATTGCCATAATATGGTGAATCAATGATATACTATCTTAATATATAAATAACAACTTATTTATTACATTTGTTATAATTAAAAATGATATGTTTTGTTAGATTTATTAAAAAATATTAACGCGGAAACTCTTAGTTTACTTAGAAATTATTATAAATTTTAATTTAGTGTTTTTTACGCCCAAATAATTAATTGAAGTTTTTTCGTGTGATAAATTATTGGAAAAAGTAATACTAACTTTAAAATTATTTTAATTTTAATAGATTTTATTCATTATTTAAAAAAACTTCAACTTTTATTAATGCTAACAAGCAATTAAAGCATAAAGACATTAATAAAATAAAAATTATTGCTATAATTAATTACAGTATAAGTCAAGAATAAAATTAAGTAACATTTGAAATGCTATTTTATATGCTATATAAATCAATATTTAATTATATTAAAAGCAATTTTATTAAAAGAAAATTTCTTATATCAATATTTTTATAAATAATGTTAATCTTTTTATTTGTAAAATGTAATATTTTCTATACTTTATAATAATTATATATATTGTATATATTATATTGTTTATAATGTATAAACAAACAAACAAAAAATTAATGTTCTGAAAACATTGTATATATTTCATGTCAAAATTTATCAAAATATTGACATAATTAAAATATTAAAAATAGTTTGATATATTTCTAAATATTTATTTAAATAAATTTTTAAAATTTAATTATTTTTCATATATCATAGTAGATGGCAAACTGTACAGTATTAGTAAGTACTGTAATTATCTTTTTTTTATTACGTTAATAATTTTAACAATATTAATAATAATACTATAATAAGTTATTATATAACAGTAATACTATACTCAGTATAGTATACTGTATATTGATTTAGTACAATAGTACAGGTTTTGTGTGGATATCATATTTGTTTATATTGTAATTCATATACATTTTATGAATGCAGTTATTGCACAATCTATTTAAATGGCATAAAATAACTGCTATACTATACTATCAATATTATGTATACAAAATAGTCATATTATATCATACAGTATTGTATAATGTGATTCAAATTGGATAAAAATGTATTCATAAAGATATGAAACAAAGTTTAATAATATTTAAATTTAATAAAATATTGAGTTTTATAGATTACCATTAATTAACGTAATATATACCGAAATAGTAGTTTGAATATGTGAAATTGAGCAATGTTATTTTTCTGATTATTAATTGTATTAATTTATAAACAAATAAATGATTTATGATTAAATTAAAGTATATCACACCAATATTATAAAATATATCATAAATTTAGTTATTATCTCATTTCTATATTATCATAACTTCAAGTATTAATTAACTATAATATTAGTTTTATATATTTATACTCAATATTTATGAATTAATTTGATTTTAATTAAATCATATTTACTATCATATACTACAGTATATATGATAATAATTATAAGCAATTTAAAAATATTTGTCAATTTTATTAATAAAATTCTCAAGTTTTTATTAGAAGTGTTATTATAAGTAAAATATAATTTTGATTTATTGTGTCCACAAAATTGAATTGTTGTGAATAGTTGTGAGAAAAATAAAAATATTTGAACTAATGATTAAAATACAAGCAAATATCAAATCATTATTGATATTACTATTATTAATAGCATTTGTGACGATAGCAGTTGAACCAAAAGACAATGGTTTCAACTGTAATGACACGTCTATTAGACAACCTTTTATCAAACTGCAGGTATCGATGGCACAGTTATTATCCATTTCGGTAGGACTTCCCATCATTGCTATAGTGGTCATTGAAAAGTTTATCTCAAAAATATCCAAAACTAATAACAAATTAATTATATATCACAATATCATTGCCTTTATCTTTGGTTTATTCTTTAACTTTTTGTTGGTAATGATTATGAAGAATCTGTTTGGACGACTCAGACCTCATACCATCCGATTCTGTAATGCAGATCATTATTGTCCAGAAGGTTGTCATTAAATTATTTTATGATTATTTCATTATAAACTGTTTTATGATTTGAATTTATATCATTAGGTTTTATTGATAAACACATCGAGACGTTTGAATGCCGTAACGATGACTATCCCATGAGATATAAGAGGAACGTTAGACATAGTTTCTATTCAGGACACGCATCCATTGGCTTATATGCCGGTGCTTTTCTTATACTTTACTTGAGATCCAAATTGAGACCAAAACATAATTTATGGAAATATATTTTGAAATCACTGTATCTGATTATAGCCATTACTTCGACATACCCGGGATATACACAATGGAAAAACTATTGGCATTTCTCCAGTGATGTCTTAACAGGTTATGCTATTGGCATTGTATCAGCAATCAGTATATATAAACTATTTTTGAGTAATACAATCAGTGATCATCAATTGATTGATAAAAACAATGCAAATAATTACATTCCTCTCAATAAATTATTAACAACTACCATATCATTTAATCGATAGCTAATTAATCGATACTACGTTAGGTATATATTAGTAATTTATTAAATTTTATTTTCAATAATTTAATTTTTTTTACAAAACAATTGTTATATCTTTTAAGTTAACAATTCAATAGGTTTTATAACTGTACTCACAAAGCAAACTATTTTATTAAATTATAATTTTTTGTCATAAATTTATTATATTAGAAAAAAATGTTATAATGTTTTCAACTTATAAACTATCGTAATTTTAATGATATCTTTTAATAAAAACTAATGAATGAATGTATGAAAATATTCTACAAAAAATATATAAATAATTTTTACATTATATAATTAAAATGAAATTGAAATTAATGATAATTAAAGGAATGAAAACATTATTAAAATTAGTAAACATTATTTTAAGTACTTTTAGTACCTAAAAGTCTGTATTATAAATGACTTTATTATTAATCAAAGGTTTATCGTCTAATGATTTTAAAAGTTGATCACAGAATTGATTGACAATATGTGTATATTTTAGGAAACAGTAGTGACCTCCTGAACGAAATGAAACCACTCTTATTGTGTCATTTGATGAAACTATTAACAAAATAATAATAATTAATTAATTAGTTGTAATTGAATTTTTGATAATATTTAATATTATAATAAAGTAATTACTAATTACATTGATTTTCAAGTTGTCCGTTGATATCATAATAAGCAATATTATCTTTATTTGCGCCCAAAATTTCAGACATTTCATAAAAGATCTCTTTTTCAATTAACCGATCGTTTTCACTAAACACCAAAAGCACCGGTACTTTACATTCACGTAATTTTTTAAGTCGATCGCCGAGCTGTCCGAACAAATAGAAAATATATTAAATAAAATAATATAAATAATGATAAATAATAGTATACTTGTTTGAATCGCGAGTATCTCATTGTTGAAGCGGAAAGTATGACATTATTCATGTTATCTGCCTTTACGGTCACCGTTTTGGTCAGATTAAGGAATGCGGTGCCAAAAGTCGAGAACAAACTGCGACCCCATTTGTTTTGGTATACTTTGACACTGCCCTCTGTGTACCAAACGGGTCGCATGGCTTTTATCCGCCGGTGTCCGCCCGGGTTTAACAATACAAATGAATCAATTTGTGGACCATTTGGGTCACACCATAATAGAGTACTGGGATATATAGCACTGCTGTGGGCTAATATCACATCGACTCTGATGGACAAACATATCATTAGTTGACATCTATTATATAATAATTATTAATTACTTACTTATTTATACCAATTGTTTTTAAAAAATCTTTTATAAATTCAGTTTTTTCTTCCGCTGAATGTCTAAATATCTCTGTTTTAATGGTCACCGAATAATCTAATAATAGTATTATATTAATTTAATATTCAAATATTTATTTCTAACATATATTAATCAAAATAGCACTAATATATAATCTACTATTGTTTAACATACAAATAAAATTAAACAAATAAAACAAACAGTATTTGTATTTTTTAATTTAGAATTTATCAAATGAATAGTCTCTGAATAAAATAATTAACTAAATAGACATTGTTTTGATTTTTATATTATACGATAAAACATATAATATAAATACAATATAAATATACTGTAGTTGACAAACCTGGAAAGTTAGGGGCAATTACCCGAACACCTATTTGTGTCATGTATTCAATAATATGGGCAAAGTCTGCGTGAGAACCGGGAGCTCCGTGAAGACATACCATCACTTTACTATTGTTGAGCTTATTATTAATAGCCATCAAATTGTCCGCATATTCAACATCAAGTGTTAGACCGCTTTTAGGTGACCTTTCATACAATGGTTTATTTTCTTTCCATATTTGGTATAACTGACCACAAGTGGTCACTCGGATGTGTTTTATTATATATTTTACTTTATTTTCTTTAGTCATCGTTAGAAATTTACTAAATTAATAATAAAATTAATATAAATATATAATAAACAAAATTAAATAATATGGGCTATAAAATGATTTAAATAAATTTTAATTGATTTTTTTAATATTTAAAAAGCATAAAAACAATTAATTAATAAATAATGTTATAATTACTTACACAAACACTTTAATTTCGTTTTTATTTAATTAACAAAAGCACTGATAAGTAAAACTAATTATATCATTAAAACATTTGGTTTAATTAGATTCGTGTATTAATTTAAATAATTAAAACTTTTTTAACATTAAAATTAATTTTATATTTTTATTAAATTTTATTATGTCATTCATATTATAACATTTTCTAATCATTCGTAAAAAATAATGTTTTAACGTTTTTAATTTAATATTAATTTTTTATATTTATAAATAAAAGCATTTAAAATAAATTTATAAATTCGCAATAATATTGATAAATACGTAATGATTTTCCTCATAATAAGTATAATTAGAGGTCATAGTAGTTTTAATCTATATATTATGCAAAATAATAACGAAATAATTGTCAAAATATTAAATTAAATGAAATTATTATAAATAAGAGTTTACATTAGATGTTATATTAATTATCAAACTAACCATTTGTTTGTTGAATTACTCAATAGCCAATAATTTAAAAAAATATATATCTTAATAATTAATAATTTATTAATATTATATATACTAATATATGTTACACAATTTTGTAAATAAAAAATCATTATATAATGTATTATTAATCTAACTCATTTATTATTTATAATTCAAAGTGATATATTGTAAAATATAATAAATAAAATATTTATTATAAAATATTTTATATTCAACAACTATATATCATGAAATAATTTTTTTATATTTTTAAATCTTTCCGTTAAATTAATAAAATAATAGTTTAATTATAAGGAAAATTATAAAACGTATCAATAATTAGCCCAATTAATAAATTTATGGCAATTATAATCACTTAGACACAAATAAATGATAATTAAAAATATTGTTTTAAATAATTTATATATACTGTATATTTAATTATTATTTATGTGACTAATTGATTATAATTGTCGTAAATTTATAAATATTTATATATTTAAATTTTATAAATTCATTAAAATTGCAATATATATAGTAATTAAATGTAATAATATTTATTAAAAGTAATCTACAGTACAGTACATTGTTTGTTACTTTTAGTTTTCTCTTTAACAATAATTTTCTAACATAATTTACAGTTTATAATCTAATAAAATATTATATTATAAAAAGGAAATTATAAAAATTTGTATTTTTATAATCAGCTCAAACAAAGTACATTTAAATTAGAGTAAATAACTAACAAAATAACATAAAAATATAAAATAAACTTTTTTTAAATCATAGATTGCCATTGAAACTCATTTGACACTTGGCTGACAATTATCTCAAGCATTCATTACTTAATGATAAAAATTTGACATAATTTATAAATAACTCTATAATTTATAAATTAAAGTAAATGACATAAAAGGCATATTTGTGTAAAAACCAGAAACCTTTAATTTCATTGTCATTTAAAATAATGTGACAAAGAATTTTATAAATTAAAAAAATAATAATAAAGTAATCAATTAATTAAATGATGAAAAAATCATTGAATACATTGAAATTTTTATATTACCCATTAATAACAATTTATAAAATTTTCATTATAAAAATTACTGTTTTTTAAATTATAAAAATATGATTTAATGATCTTAATGGACAGTGTTTTATTAACAATTTTTAAAAAACTCTTTATAAAGTTTTATAGTTTATTTAGTCCTTCAGAAAAAATTATTTGTCTGACAAAAATAAATATCGTGTACTATAAATGCTAAAATTTAAAAACACAAACATATAAAGGTAATAAAAAAATTATAGATAATTTTGTGATTATTTTTAAACAAAGAAAAAAGTGAGAGAGATATAAAATAAATAAATAATGTTTTACTATAATATATAATCATAAAAAAGTAAACTGGTCTCTAAGTTTATCAATAAATTGATAATAACTGTTAAAATGCAAAATTGCTTTTTTGAAATAACAAAAATTCTAAATTATTTAAAAGTTAATATAATGTTATCACAACATATTAAATATACAGTACATACCTTTACTAACAAAATTAGGTCAAACATAGAGAGGAAAAGTTGGTTTACATACGATTAACCACTAAATAGGATATCGACACAATATGATAATTTTTTATATTTCAAATAATTGATTTTTTTATTGTTTCAAATATCGTTATTTGTAAAAAATATTTAATTATTTCACAATAATATCAAATATTTTATATATTTTTATAAATTTTATTTTGACTTCAATAAGTGACTAAATAGTACTTTTGAAACATGAATTTATTTAAAATAAAATATTAATTTCATTGCAATCTTATGGTAATCCATGATAAGCCTCAAGAAATGATCGCAAAGATATACTACAAGTTTAAGGCAATATATTTAACAGTTTTTGTTGTAAAAAATGTATGTCTCGACATTGAAAGTATATATATATTTTAGTATTGAAAATTTCCAACTTGTTGTGTAATATATAATAAAAATTAAATGTGTATTTCTAATTGTTTACTATATTATATTTATAAAAACATTATAATAATTATTTTTTTTCTATTTACTTATATAAAAATAGTACTAATAGTACTTAAAAAATAGTATCAATATATTTGACTTATAACTACTAAAACTTAAAATAATTTTAAAAAATTACACAAATGTTAATATAATGACTTACATAACTATTAGCTGATAAGTTAAAAGTCTAAATCCAATATACGACTTAATAAATTATGCAAACGTTTGACACAATCTCTTGGATTATAAATATAAAACAATAAATGAAAAATAAAAATCAGAATATTCTTTGTAGACATAAGTGTTGATAGACTTAATAAGTTGAACACAAAATTTTATAAAATGTAACTAAAAATCAACAATTTTGGTGATTTAGACTAATTGTTTTCACAAATTAATATGCAATTAAAAAATACTTTATTATTTCATTGCTTTCTATGTAATTTAAAAAAATAGTGATTACGTCATGAAATGCAAAAAAATAGATTATTACATATGACTTATATTACTGTCTACCTGTTCACGAGTGATGTGACAACCAAAACATACAACACATTCAATGTATATATACTAAACCTTTTAGTGTCCAATAGTTTAAACCTATTCAATGTTTCAAACCATTGGGCCCTTGTTTTTCAAAGACACTGCACTGTTCATTGCTTTTATGAGATTCATTATTAACAATAGATAATTACAATAATTAGTTTTTTTTGTACAATCTTTATATAAATCATATTTCATGTGATAAATAAAGCACAGGACAATAACAACAATATAATATAAATAGATTTAATTAATATTAAATTAATATTTTCTAATGTTGTGAAATATAAAAAATAATAATGACTTAATATTTTTATATATATCATAATTATATACATTTTAGATAATAATTGTTTATTAAATATATAATCGATTTATGGATAGTTATAATAGATAGTTAAGATAATAAGTTTCATAGTTATTAAATTTAACAATTCACATAAATACATGACACATGCAAACAGATTTATTATTTATATAAATTATTATTAATTGTAGCAAAAAAATATTTTTTATACTATAAAAATTAATTTATATTTTTATTTGAATTAATATAATGTATAAATATTTAGTTTAAAATTGATTAATTTACCTGATAATTGATGTGAATGTTTGCCAATAGAGCACAAAATAATTGAACTAATTTTATTAAATAACTGAATTTATTATATATATATATATATTTTATATATTATGTTACTTTATATTTTTTATTTATACGATTTATATTATATATATACGATATATACCGTACACTATAGATAAATATAGTTAATAAACAATGAGTTTGTATTAATTATAATGAAATAAACAAATAAATAATAAAATAATTGATCACTACTTGACTTAGTATTGGGAAACACACATATCTAGTGAAGTGGTGTAACACAGAAATGGGATGTCTGTACACGACTTTACAAATAAGTAATATTTTTATATTATATGTAATAAATAATTTAATATAATTTTATGAATCAACAAAAAAATGTGTGGATTTCCAGTTGATATGAAAGTGAATCGTTGATAATGGCAAACAATATGACGTAAAAATGGGAGTCAATTAACTGACTGAGCAGGTGTTGCATATTATTCCTATGAATTGGTAGTTATATTGTATGAGTATCTATATTAACACAAATTATACCAAACAGAGTATGAATAACACGGTTAGCCTTGAATTAGTTGATATGTAACCTCAAGATCTGGTGGCCAACGAGCTTATCATATGTATAGACATTTATAATATGATATTTGTTTTCAAAGCAGACCTCTCTCTCTCTCTCTCTCTCTCTCTCTCTCTTTCTTTCTCTCTTTCTTTCTCTCTTTCTTTCAGTCACTCACTCACTCTTTCATATATTCATTAACTAAATTATTAAAAGTACTACAAAAACATAACTTCAAATATTTTTATTTCATTAATAAAATCATTAGTTAAAAAATACATTAGATTTTAGATGAGATAAAAATCCGGTTTTAATTAAATTATAATTGTTTTAAAGATCAAAAGTTCAGTTGGATTTTTAAATTGCAATATTATTAATTAATAATATTGATATAAATTGATATAATAAAAGTTTGCTTGTTTATCTTATATTTATGTTTGTTTGTATTATTTTATTAATTAGATATTTTACGATATTATAGACTAAAAATTTATATTATATTATAGACTTAACTACATATAAATTAGACATATATGTATATATTGGTGCATAACATTTATAGTTTTTATGACATAAAATTATAATAATATTAAATGTAAGAATTATTTTTGAAAACGTTTCAGTTTGATAATCAAAATAATATTATTTAAAATTATAAAAAAATTAATATCAATAAAATTAATATAAAACATTCAAGTATTAAAAACTTTTGTTTTTGTTGGTAATATATGTAATATCTGTGTTTATAAAATTTGTTGACATTTGATTATTTATTTATTTAAAATTAAATCTAAAATATTTAATTAATAATTTTACATTAAATTGAATATTTATAAAATAAATTATAAAATATTATAAAATTTGAAATTTTTAGAAAATTTTTATTTACTCAACTCCTATTAAAACAATTATTAAAATTTATTATAATTAACCAAATTTGATTAATGATAACAAATAAATTGTAAATCTAGTCTATTGGTGATTGTTTTATGTATATAATTTTATTATGTATTGTTTGTAGAAATTAAAAGTTAATTATCTTGATAAATAGTCAAAAACAACAATTATGGTTATTAACCAATTTTTAAAAATTTCCTTTTATCAAATTATTGACAAAAACGCATACATAATATTTTTAAGCTAAATATAATTAATAAATCATAATAAGTATAATTTCTAAGAAAATAAATCAAAATAATAAATACAATAACTATTTATCGCAGCAATAAAATTATTCAACTTTAATGTAGAAAAGTAAACAATCAATTACTGGTATTTTTTTTAAAATTACTACTAATGAATAAATAATTTGTGAGCAATTAACTAATAATGTATTTTTATTTAAATTGGTAACATTAAAAACAACTATCATACTTGCAATGCTATTATTTATTATTAATTTTATAATTTATTATAATTCACTTCATATAACCATATTTTTATAAATACTATTAATTTTGATTAATACTTATAAAATTGCTGAAATTTTTATTTTTTTAATTAAATAATATCAACAAAACTATAATGATTTTAGTATACTATAATATAAAATTATTAATAATTACTATAAATAATTTATATCAATTTAATTATTAACAAATATTAATGTTAACTATTATAGAAACAACAATTAACGATAATAATAATAAAAACTAAAAAAATGTAAAAAACCAAATTCACAAAAAACCATTTATTTATTCTAACAGTTTTACAATATTTTTTGTGAATTGATAGTTAAAGTAAAAATAAAATGTAAAAACTATAAAATATTTTAAAATACAATATGTAAAAAACAGTTAACAGAATAAAATAAAAATATGTTAATCTATAATAGTGTAAGAATATTTTTAAAAAAGTATATATATAATATTTTCACATATATAGTACAGTATATTTAGTAAGAATTTTAAACAATTTTGTATTTAAATTAAAAAATAATTATCAAATATATGTTTAAACTGAAAAACAATAAAATATAAAAACAACTTATATAGTATTTAGAGTCATAAATGACATTATAAAAAATTTAATAATAAATGTCAATTATTATCAATTGTGTGTAAATATCTAACAGATTTGAGTAATGATAATGGTGCATTTTTACACTTTTAGATCAAATTAATTAATAATCTTTTATTCATAATTTATAATATATGATAATTTTACTTAATTTTAATTAATATAAAATATTTAAAATATATGTATTATTAATAACTATATTTTTTACAATTTATTATATTTGTAAAAATATTTAAAATAATAATATCTGTCATTTAGTGAAAGACAAGTGTATAATGAGTTTCCAATATATTGTACTATATATTCATAAGTCTAACCCTTTTTGATAAACTAATCGATTCAATGATTCAATTAATATGTATTGAAAAACTGTTGTCGACTTCACAATTAAAGATCAATATTCTTGAGAAATGAGTCCAATTGATTGGTATACTCTTCCTGATACTTATACAGATGTCCCACATGTGATGACTTATCAAAACAAATCCATTTGACATCAATATTCTTCTGATGCCATCTATCCATAACACGACGATTAGACTCAGGAGTGCCCACAACGTCTCCATTGGACACAAACAGAAGACTCGGACACCGAATGACATTATTTTTATAGGCTTCAGAAGAAGCCATATAGTGTTTGGTGGCCACAGAGTAAAACAATTTCATATGAGTGGCAATCATAGTACGAAATATTACTCTTAAGACACTGTTGTTAGTGATAGCACGAGACAAACCATTAGGAATAGCCTCTAAATCGGCGGCTGAATCACAGATTAAACCTTTGATGGCTTTCTTCATTTTGGGCAATATTTTTTCATTTTCTTGTTTCTCCATTTGAACCAACACTTCCCCGAACTGATAGGCGCCCACAGAAAATGCGTGGACAACAACTTCGGGATATTCGGTGACTTTTTGATTAAGAAAATCCGCGACACTTGCGGCAATACGTTGTGAGCCAATAGTCGGGAACATTAACTCAAAAGGACTCGTTTTGACGGTCAGGACATCGAAACCGCGTCTAAAGTATAAGTTTCGGTACTTTTCGATGTGTTTGTCCTTAGCTAACATCCACGCAAAAAATACGACCAGTGGTCGCACTGCTGGCCGTTCAATGGTTGCCGACTTGTTATCCATTGTGTTATTGGTGGACACCGACCGCGGATGACAGTATCGCAAAGACATATTCTTATTAACCACTAATTGGTCCACAGTTTTCGTAGACGGCTATCAAATATCGATAATTATGTCATACAATGAACCAAATGATAATAATTGAAAAACAAACTTACGGTTAGTGAAGATTTATACACTTTTTGGACACAACTGGTGGCCAACAGTGGTCTCAATTGGCGACAATAAGTCATATCATTATTGAACCAAATCAAGACATTTTGCTTAATCATTGATCCAATTAATTGTCTCATCTTTGCTGATATTTGTCTTCACTTTTTTTGATAATATAATGTACTGTAATATCACAACAATTATTAATAAGTTATTTCAGTCTTTAATTATAACTGTATTTTGCAAATATGTATTCAATTTATTAAATATATTAAATATATGCAAACTATAGCACAATATTATAGATTATTACTTTATTTAGTATAAAAAACACATTTTTAAGTACAAAAATAGTCGAAAAAATAAATAAAATCAATTAAAATGCAAACAAATGTCAATTAATAGCGTCTCATATCATATGATATAATGTTATGTTATTACGATATAAACGCCACTCATTGACTGTAAATATAATTAATACAAACATATGTTAATATAATTTATTATTGAAAAATCAGATAAATATATGATAATTGATTTAAAATCATAAATTATGGGACATTTAATCATTTAATAATTACAAAATAGACTTAATTAGGTGACACTCACTAAAAATTTTTAAACAACTTAATAATTTTTATTTAAAAAATGTATTAAAAATATGCTAAATATATAAACAATTATTTGAAATCAAATATCTATAATACTGTATATACCGTAAAATAAAATGATATATCATATAATTTAATATTAGCAAATAAAATTTGTCCAGGATAATTAAAAATTAATAAATTTATTATTTTCTAACAAAAATCTATAAATACGATATGTTAGCTATAATTTATGATTAGATATGCAGTTATAGCGCCCACACTATAGCCGGTGCCGATGTCCGACCAGTGGTGCCAATAGTTGATACCCTGAGTAATGCCAGGAATGAGACCAATGATAAAAACAGTCAATTGTGTCAAATATATCCAATTAGTCTTCAATTTTAATCGATAATAAAGATATAGTATTGTATATAAAGCCGAATACGTGCCGACAGACGAGTGGCCCGAATAGAAGGATAATCGCGATTCTTTGACCAGTTTGGCCAATGGATTATCGCATACAAAGTGGTCAACGTATGTGGTGTCCGATTGACAATAATGTCGGGCATTACATATACCTGAGGAATGATATTAATATGAAATATATAAGACAATGACAAAACACTTTACTATAATAATTACCGACAATAGAGTTGGGTCTTAATCTGCCGACCCATGCCTTACACGACAACACCATAATAAATGTTAAGACGAGACCTAAATAAAACTGTTTGATTCGCAATATTATTGAACTCATACTTGATTTGTGGTGATATTCAACCGATAATACGATAATCATTGGTATTATGTAAGCAAATGCCAGCAAATGTTTCATAGGAATCATAATTGGATGGAAAGGCTTCATAATAGACGGATCCCTACAATCAAAGCCTCTCTCATAAGGTTTACTATATTTGTAAAGTAATAACGATATTATGGTCATCACTGTCAACACTAGAGGCCATAATTTGGTCCATATTTTCGACAAAACCATGTTTTGTCAATTTTGTTAACAAGTTTTATAATATATAATATTTATTTTTTCTATAATTAATTCATTTGAAATAACATCTTAAATATAATACAAAAATATTATTTTTTGGACTTAAGTGAAGCAATAGTAGTAAAATGTACTGAATTTTATAGTAAATTAAGAAACAATACTTTATATGAATTGATATTAAATATTGTTTATTAAATTTTATTTTACAGTATAATAGAAGATATGTGTAGTATTTGTGATATTTTGCACTTATTTATTATTAACTTATTATCTAAACATATAATATCTTAATATCCATAAAAATATCGATAAAAACTAAAAGAGTGGAGAAAATGTATGAATTGAATGCTAATGTTTGACATTAAGTAAGATATCATTAATATTATACTAATGTTTGCATCAATTGTTGTCACTCTCTATGAGAGACACGTGTTGTGTGTTTCCACAGCAAACAGACAACAAATATTAATCACTATTGGCTTCAAAATATTAAGCGCTAAATATGTTATATTGAAAATAATTTCACTGATAATTAATCAAGTTTTTAATTTATCATAAAATATTGGTTAATATATAAGTTATTGCAGACAAATATAAATAAAAATAGTTTCTATACTTTATATTATTAATTGCCAACAAAATTTATAACTCATATAACAATTTTATTTTAAATATAAGGAAATAGGATTTCCTCTGAAATAGATATATTTAGAAATCATAAATATCATATATATTTATATATTAAATAAAGTTATAATTTTATTCAAAATTTATAAATTAAATTCATTTTAATTAAACTATATTAATATTAAAATACTAATCTTTAAATATGGATAATTGAATTGAATTGTTAAAAATACTGTATTTATACTTACAATTAAGATATTGTCATATTATTACGATAATGATGTAATAATTTATATAAATTTTCTAAAAAATATGTAATATAGCAAATAAAAATTACTTATTAATTTCATTTTTAATTAATCTAATTTTATAAATTCTTTACACTATAAATATAATAGTTTGATAATACTGTGAAAGGTGTATAAGGTATGTTGTATACTATTTTTTACTGTTTAAATCAATAACAAAAAAATGATAATACCACTAATCAAACAAAATAATTAAATGTTTATTCAGTTATTTATAATTTCAATATAAAATAAATTGTTTAAAAATTTATCAAATGAATAAAGAAACGGGAAATAAATAATTTATATATTAATAATATCAAATAGCATGGATTTTTGAGTACTAAAATTACAATACAATTTTAGTTGCTATACTGTAATTTTTATTTAGCTATAAATATATTATATTAATTTTATCTTTTAAATATAATATTTATATAAATATTTATATAAAAATGACTAAATTGTATAAAATAATTGTTATTTAATTTAATTTTGAACAAATTCATAGCAATTATGTAAAAAAGTTTATTGAGTTTAGTAATCACATACTGTATAAACTATTTAAGTAATATTAATATTATCTCAAATAATAATTGTATATCACTTTACTTTAATCTGTATTATGTATCGTATATGATATAATACTGTATTCACAATAATAGTTTGCAATTATCATACTTTTCAAATATTTATTATTAAATTTGTTTGCAAATAATGATAATTCAGTGGAAGTCATAGTAACTAAATCTTTAGTTATATACCTCTTCAGAAGTACTATTAAACGTTTTGTAAATTGCAAATTGAAATTAATATATAATATTAAATACATTAATGAATGAAATAATTTAATTAGTTTTTTTTGTTAGCAAAGTTTAATTTTTCAATATTATTAAAATGTGAATAAAGTTAAAATTAATTTATACGGGATTTAGTTTTGTGCCAAATGTGGAGTAAAATATTTTTATTTTCCGAAATTATTATATTAATATTGATTGCTATAGTTGTTTGGTATTTTGATTATCATGGCATTCAAATGATTATTGTGGTTATCGTTGTTATTAGTTTAGTAGTTATTACAGCATTTATTCTAATTAAAAATAGGTATAAATTTTGTATTTTTAAAAATAAATTTCAACATGAATTTTAACATAACATTGTATTAAATTTATATCTAGAAAAATGACAAAACGTAAATCCAAAAGACCCGGTGCTGCCATTGAAGCCAGTTGTGAATCGGTAGTAGCTATTAGTCGACCACTAAATTCAATTGTCAATAGCGGGAGACCAATGAATATCAATTCAATGAGTGAGGAATCAATGGTTTTACAACAATCGGATTTTTCTCCGCAAGTCGTAAACGCTGTCATTGAAAATGACAATAAAATTAGAGAGTCGTTGATCTCAGACAATGAAGTGCCACCCAGTTATGATGAGGCATCACATCTACCATCACTTTCATCTTAATTCAAGTTTATCATCAATATTGTCAACTAATTGTCACCACAACCCATACATAACATTCCAGTCTAAATATTATAGTTTATATATACATTTATGTACTAATTATTAGTATTATTATGATATTCTTCAAGATATTACAAATAATTCAAAACATAATATATGAATATTTGAATAAATATAGTACTTTAGATATATTATTGTATGCAATCTATTATAATATAGTAATACTAAACTTATATTAATTTTATTTTGACAAAAATGATTTATTCATAACTAAAAAGATTGTCGATTACTGAACTGATAAAATAGATTAATCTTTAACTAAGACAACATCGAAATGTCTGATTTGCCATTCTTTGAAAGCTTTGCGCACCGATAGCCATGACTCGACCGACAGCACAAACAGTGATATAATCATCAGTGAAATGGATGATATGAAACTGCAGTATAGATAAGTGTGTTGTCTGTAATGACCATTTTGAAGAAATACAATCATTATATTTGTGGCAAATATGACAAATGTTGTCAAAAAGAGAGACAACCAAAATGACACTCTATGTGTCTCTTCGGCCAACAAATATTGACAATAGTTATGTCCGATTCGGACACATCTGACATCAAATGGATGGCGACAGACACGACAGTGCTCTTCCCTATTCATAGCAATCCATTGGGACAGACAACTCAAATGGACTAAACCAATGGTTCCGCTGCAAACACACGGCTTTATTAATACTTCATTGCTATCATCTTCTCTACAAATACGACATTCTTCTACTTCTTTTACATCCATTTGTTTCAAAATTGTTTTTACAATTTCAATAGTTTAAGACTATTATTATTTTTTTAAAAAAAACTTCTGCACAACAATAGAAATAAAATTAATTGTTTATTAAATCGGAGTTAATTGACATTTGAAACATAATATTTTATAAAAATACATTTATAAGATAATTTGTACTAAATTACCAGATCTTTGTTTATTTCTATCTATTTTAATGGTTATAATGCAAAGAAATAAAACTAACTTTTAATGAGTCTATCATTTCTCAAATAAGTGAAAAAAATTGTTGAATATTTGTTTTTATTGAATTATATAATATAATATAATAATAATAATAATAATAATATCAATATTAATATCAATATTAAATATAATTATTTATATTTATTATTTAGTAAAGTATTCTCGTTGTGAAAAACAAATAAAATTTAAAGGATATTCTAACTTATATATTATACAATATTTCGTGTTTTAAATTAAGTAATCGTAATATATTTTTATTTTCAATATTATAGTTATTTTATATATTAGACTGCTATAGTATTACTGTCTAATAAATAACATTTGAATTATAAAGAATAAAGAAAATTGATTTTTTAAATATTTATTTTTGCAAAAATACTATTAAATTCGCTTAGTATAGATTTATAAATGTATACTATGTGTATATATAAATTATACGGTATATATATACTATATAATACAGTACTGTATATTTAATAGTAAATTATTTAACATCATTTAAATAATTATTCAATAAATTGTTTATTTATAAATATTAAATTATCAATATTAATTATATTATAAATTATTTTATATTATGAATAATATGAACTCAAAATTACATTGAAACAGCAATTATATACTATACTTATATCATAAAAATTATTTTGAATACAATGTCATCGATCAACACAATGATGACAAAACAATCAATTAAATAATATATGTATTTGTTTTAATATAGGGTATTATCAATGTCGACAACACATGCGTTTAGTGAGACATATATTTAAGTAGTGGCACTAAATTTCTGATTAATTGATTATAAAATTTATTAGATTCAATAAAAATTTGTTTTAATTTATTTTTAAAATGTTATTATTTTATTTATAGTCAAATAGTTAATGACTTTATGAGTTATAGTATGAATGTATTAGTGTTACCATAGATTTTTGTTTGACTTTGTGTATAACACATGAATACAATATTGAACAAAATATAAAAATATATATTTATTAATATTATTTATATTGACTATTTGTATGAATTGTATCATTGCAATCAAATGACATTATTAATAATAAAAATAATAACAAACTTATATTTTTTATGTCAATCTATGATATATGAAATTTACTATTTGATAATATTCAACTAAATTCATATAAAAACGTAATACAATAATAATAAAACTAAAATTGATAATTTTTATTAACATTTTTTATATCTATTAACTATTAAATATGTATTTGATAAAAATTTTCACTTTTAATTTAAATGTTATTTTCATAGTTGAAAAATTATTTAATAGCAAATTACTTAATTTCTAAGTAGTGTTGACAACAAATGACACCATCATTAATGATTTTTTATATTAATATTATTAATTTTATGACTACTATAATTAAGTGATATTATTTTATCGATATAATTATTATTTAACACAAATATAACTAATATTGTAAATTAGAAATTTAATGTATATTCAAACTTATTAAACAAAAAAAAGAAAAAACAAATAAATTATTAATAATATGTTTAGTTAGAGTTGAATAAAGAAGGAATAATAATTTGCATAGAAATAGTCCATTAATTATAATTTATTAATAAAAGTGATATTATATTCATTACGATATTATACGAAATGGGAAATAATAATGTGACGACAACTCCAGTGGAAACCATAAAAATCGATGACAATAATGAAGACAATAGTGATAACACTAATAATAAGAATATTCATTATAATAAAAACAAAATTAATGGACTTTCTTATGATATTAATTCCGAGTTTGAACAACAAAATGAATATTTAGATAATTATCCAAATGATGAACCATTTAATCAAAACTGGAATCCTATTGATCCACAATCTGTCGGTTAGTTTAAATGTATTTAAATTGTGATTATATGTCATTTTATACTTAAACTTAATGTTATTCAAAGAATAGTGTATAATATTTATTTAGTTTAAAAAATTAATATTAATATTATTAGAGATAATTTAATAAACTAATAGAGAAATTATGTTTAAGTTTGGTAAATTCAAAAAACAAAAAAGTATAAATTTTATTACTATTATATTAAAAATAAATATTTTTATAATATAAACATATTTGAAATATTGATTTTGTATTTAAAAAAACTAAAATATTGTTTTATTGCGATTTTTTGTTTGAATAGATAAAGTAAATGCTGAACACATTACTGGACAGGGATTGTCAATAAACGAGACAATTGAACACTTGAAACAATCTCAAGACAATAACATCCAACAAAATCATGTTGTTGTGGATAAAACAGTTAAAATAGACAATGAAAATATTTTTGACGATTTTGCCCACGAAGATGATCTTATTGAGAGTACATCAAGTCAAGTGATATCACCTAAAGTAGAACCGATCAAAATTATAAACACAATTGTGTCTTCAGGTGGTCTACAAAAAGACATAAATATAGTTAAAAGTGATATTATAGATATCGATGACTTGCAAAGCATCGAAAGCGGATCTAAACTAACATTAAATGAGACTAAAAGCGATTCCGAAGATGTTTTACAAGAACTCAACAAATTAAGTCTTGATTTAGAAGATAAAGAGGACAAGAATGTCAACAATTACCGTAAATTAAGTCGAAAAAGGGGCCAATCGTGGAGTAATTGGGATAACACTATTCACGATGATCTTAAAGCTGAGGTATATTATAATTTTTGTTTATTAAATTATAACATTTGTCTATTATTTTATAATTTTTAGTCTAGTTTAAGTAGTTTTTCCCGTCCAAACTCAAATAATGAGATTCAGACATTAAAAACCAAGTCTTATACGGCACCCGAAGCCAGAGGACAAAATGATTCGGCCATTGAATGGTTGGCCAAACAGGTGTGATTGATATAAATTGAAAAAATGTCTTTTTAATAAAATATTATATTTATTAATTTAGTTTTAATTATATACTTTGTATATTTACATTATTAACGGTATACATGTAGTTGTAATTGTGTTTTTATCATTAAAATATTTGTTTGTTTCATAATTTTAATATCGATTTAATATTTTCAATGATTACAGATAACTATTGCTATAATTTCAGTATTTCTAAGAATAAATATCTCTAATTAATTACTCGAAATTATAAATAATTTTTATTTATTTAATATTAGAGTATTTTTTATGTGTGTAATAATTTTGTGTAATATATAGCACGGTTTGGATACTGGAGTCTTAGATAGTACTGGAAGTCATAAACGTATAATTAATACTGAGAGCAGAATTAGTCAAAACACTTTTAGAGTAAGTTATTATTTAAATCAATTAATTTTTAATTATAGATTTTTAAAAATTAAATTTCAATGTTATTAATATTTAATGATATTTTATCACTTTATTACTTATTTATTAATTGAATAATTATTTTTGATATAAATAGCTCAGTTCAATGGACATACCTGGAAGTGTTTCATTGTCTTCTCCATCAACACCGGGTAAATGATTGGCTTATTATTTATTCATTTGATTTCATTGAATATTACTATTATTGTCAAATAAAGGTAAGAGCGATCACCAATTGAACCATAAATACGATGATTTGGATCAACAGCTCATTAATTCAATAGAAAATGATTTCATTAAATAATTATTTATTATTTACTTCAAATCAATTGTATAAATCATTGAAAAATAGTTATTTTGTATAAACAATATATATTTTTCAAAAAATCAACTATTAATAGATCATCAATGAGTCATTTATATATTTTCATGCTTTAAAAAATTATATATTGATAGCAAAACGTCTTTTATGTTGTAATACTGATTATAAATGATATTAAAAATAGTTTTTGTAATTATAACAAATATATAGTTATCGATAAATATTTTTGACAAAACAATCAATAAATCCAAATTTAAAAGTAAATTATTAGAGATCAATAATAATGTCATATGACTTGATATGTGATGTGATTTAAAAAAATAATTACAAATGTTTTTGATTAGAAATGATTCCGTAAAATGTTTTTTACTAAAACTTTTCGGACTTAATTCGGACGAATCGGAGTCATTGCTGGACTGTAATTGACAATAGCTTTTGACTGATGGTTATTGATAAATGTCGAACAGTATTGTCGACCATTAGTTACCGGTTCTTTTGGTTCACCATTTCGATGATTGAATGACTGATGATTGCGATTACTTGTGTCCCCTTTGTCTTCATTCGTAAGGTTCGGATTTTGTACCATAAAAGCTGCGCCCCTTCTAAGCTCTTGAGCGGCTATATAACAAAAGTGATTATAATTTTAATTACAATAAATATCATTAATTTTATTATAGTTACCGCAAATGATGCGTTGTGTGGCCAAATTGACGTCACCTAAACAGTCACTTAAGACCGAGTATTTCAAGTAAGCCATTAATTCACTTTCAGAAAACGGAGAATTAGACAACTTTTGCGATAATTCTTGACTGGACTTTAAATATTGAGCGCACAGATAGTCAGATCGACAACCGGTCTGATTGTCACCACTTTGAGTTTGATTGACTTCATCGGGTGTCGTCACAGTCTGTTCAGGTATTAGTTGCGGAGGAAAATCATTGTCATCGTTGTTATTCCCATTACCATCTGTTTCACTATTAGTCTCTGTATTAGTAATCTGTGTCTTCCGAGTTCCACCAGTTCTGCCATTAATTCTTTTCTTAGCCGTCGACTTCTTCGATGAATTTGTGTTAATCTCTAGCGATTTCTTTTGAGTCGTTTGTTTATTGGACATCGATTTCGATAACTCGTTATCTTTATGTTTATCCATCTGTTGTGTGACAGCTCTTGTTTGTGGTTTCTTAAGCCTCGCTAACTCACACTTGCGTTTCAATCTTAGGCCGTAATTCTTGCACTTAACACACGGACATCCCTTATATGGACACTCGGAGTGACCTAAGTTTGATGACAACAAATGCAATCAATATTATAATGCAATTCATTATTACCTTTGAATAGTGTCTTCACGTTGTGATTCTTGCATCGGTTGCACACCTTTTGGCCACCAATTGGTTTTATCGTCTTATTGTCCAACTGTTTGGCGCTCAGATCTGCTTTTTTGATCACCGATTTAGTCCTCATTTATACAAATATATATTTGGACAACAATTAAACAAAACAAATCAATTTTGTATTAACTATAAGATAACAACAAAAACATAAAACAAAACGTGTTTTTATAGTAACGATATTCAAAAGCAATGAATGAAATGCATATTGTTTTGTATTTATAATCAAAATTATATTCAATAGCATTGAATGTCATTCACATGTTTTTGCACTTTCACTGTCTGTTTGTTTGTTTGTTACATACAGTATAATAACAGTACAGTAGTATAACAATCAATGATTGTGTCATTTAATATAATATATAGTAAACTGTTTCTATTATTCCTATTATTTCTTATAATTTATAAAAATATTAATACACTATATTTAATACTCTATATAATATACATGTTTTAATAACAAGTACACCAACTGTTTATTATGTAAATGTTAATATTAATAATAGGTATAAATAATATTGTAAATATAGTGTAAATCTATACTATTAGTACACACTGTGTACTACACAGTATAACATAATTAATGTTATGATACAGTATTACATTATATAAAATTATAGTATTTCTATCTATTATTTTAAACTTAAAAATTTATTACTTCTCAATAAAATCTATTGAATTATCAAAATCTATGAAAAATTTAATGGATTTAATGATTTTTGTTGTTGTTGTAAAAACTCTAAACAATCAGCTTTTATTGTAAACACTATTTTTTAGTATTAAATTTTTAGTGTTAATAAATATCGCATGTTTATATAAATTTGTATATAATATTAAATATTGAAACTTTAGTTTTAAAAATATAATTATATTTTCAATTTTTTTAGCAGTTGCAGCAATTTTTATATGTTGTAATTTACCATTAATTAATTTATAATAAGAAATGATAAGAAATAAATTAAATTAAAAAATTAACAAAATATTTGTTTTGAATGAATTAAAAAAAACTTAAACTCTATTTTTATTAGTAATTAGTTTGATTAGTGGAAAGTAAATGTTTTCATTGATAGCTAAATCATAAAACTCTGCGGGAAGTGCTTCGAGACCCGTGGCTATGATTCTCTCCATTAATCCGTAGATATAGTAATAGGGTTTTGGTGTGACATTAGTTATTGAATTGATTAGCGCATCGATGACTGGTTGGGGATTGTCTTTAGCCGATGCGATGACAGCATTGATCCTTTCATGCAAAACATCACACTTTTCTGGTCCATAATCTTTGCGCACATCTGCCGGCGATTCCTTCCATTTAGTCTGGAAATCATTGATCCATAGGTTGTAATCCGTCATATTTGTACTAAATTTGTGATAAATTACGATATTTATAATATACTGTATTTGTTTTATTGCAAATTTATATGATTTATACAAAATTATAAACCTATAAACTGATGGTTCGATAACTACAACATTGATATCAAATTGTTTGATTTCATTTCTTAGGCAATCACTGAAAGCCCGGACCGCAAACTTTGACATCGCATAGGAACTGATGCCCGGCATTGCCAGTCGACCTAATAATTTCAAATAATTTTTAAGAATATTTAATAATAAATTAAACTAATTTTTAAAAAATCAATTACCGGCCAAACTTTCAACATTAATGATACGACTATTGCTAGTCTTGCGCAACATCGGTAGGAAAGCCTTTGCGACTCTGACCTGACCCATGGCATTGACGTCCATTTGTTTGACAAAAATGTCGACTCCTTCCTGACCCCACTCGACGGGTAAGAAATGCATTATTCCCGCGTTATTAACAATTGCCCAAAGATCTATCAATACAATTACGGTAATTATGGTATAATTATTATTTTATGATTTTTATTAAAAAACCATTATTTTGAAGATTATTATTAACAAAATTGACGGCTTCTTTGATATCATCATCTTTAGTGACATCCATTTTCAATATTTTTAACCGATCGGAGCACAAGTTGGACAACGATTGGACTGCTTTTGAATCCGGATTAAGACACGAAGCAAACACTGTAAAGCCCTTTGAGTCTAACTCTTTGGCCAACAGATTACCAAAGCCTGAGTCACATCCTTTGAATTTTTTAAAATTTATTAGTTAAAGGTTTGCAAATAATTAATTAAAAATATCAATAATGTTTAGATAATCAATTATATTTGTTTAAATTTATGCCAAGTTTTTTTTAATTGTTGATTTGTTTGTTAGTTTCAATAATAGTTGACATCATTTTTAAAAATTGCATTTACTTTCATTATAATAAAAAAATAATATTTAATATACATTTGTATTCTTTATATTGAATTATTTATTTATATAATGATAATAATAATTTAACAAACAATTTCTATATTATTTTGTTATACTGTATTAAATTACATAAGAGATAAAAAAAATTATTATTTTATTATATTTGTCAGTAATTTTCTATTAAAAGAGTAAATTTTTATAAATAATTCAAAAAAATCTGATAAATAAGTCTATAAAAGATAAGTTTAAATATATCCTTGACTTAAAAAGTTAGTAACAAAATTATTATATAATTGTTGGGTTGGAGTTTTACATTTTTCCTAACAATATGTTAATATAAAAATTATATAATACATTATTATTAAATTATTAATATTTACCTAAATCTTATTTATAGTTTTATGTACAATGTAAATTAATTTTGAAAAAAATAAATAAATTTTTAAAAAATGCTATAAAATTAAAAGTTAGTTTGAAACAATAACTACACCATTTTTAACACAATCACTAAACTATTTGATATTTAAAAATAACATTTTTATTATTTTGTGATTTTTAATCAAGCAAATAAAAATAGGTAAATAAAACTATTTGTATTTACTTTATTTAAGACTAGTAAAGGATAAAAATACAACAAAATAGACTATTATTAAATTTTAGTCTCTGAATATAAATTTAATATAATAAATAAAATAAAAATATAAATTTAAAGTAAAATTTAATTAACTAAACAAACCTGTGATAAAAACAGCTTTCCTTTCGGAATCTATTTGTTCATAATTATAGTTTTGATAGAGTTTTGTCAATTGCCAGGAAAGCCATACAACGACACTATAAAATCCAATTACTTGTAGTAATGATTGAACCAAACTTATGGAACAAATAACCAAAATTACCAAAAATATAACACCAAAGTGTTTAAACACATCAACATTGGTTGACATTATAATCAACACTACTATATATTCAACACTCTTTCCTTAATTTTTCACTTAATATTATATTTTCACTAATTATATTATAATTATATTTATTATAATGATTACTACAATACTATAAACTAAATATTAGTTAATTCGTCTATAGTTTTAAACTACTGTTGTTATTGTAAACATAAGATACGAAGTGTTAATGAAAAATGATTAGTTTATTACATTAATTATATTTATTATCACAATATGGTTGTCAGTCAAACTATATAAAGTTACATTATATAACAAACTTTGAATAACAACGAGAATAATAACTATAAAGTTTTAGGCAAATTAAGTTAATGTTATTTATAATTTATTTTCAAATAAACAAATTAAACAATTGTAATGACAATAAATGTAATAACAATTAAATTAATTATACATTTGCGAAATACATTTTAAAATAATTTGAATATTTTATTTTATTACTTTACCATACATTCTGGTTATTATTTCTATAAAAATATTTATACTGTATAATAATTTTAAAATCTATAGTCTATCGATAATGTCTAAAAACACAATATTACTGAAATTTAATAGTTATTTGAGTTTATATTTTTATGTTTATAATTAGAGTTTGCAAAAAAAAGAAAAATTTCTAAAATAATTGAGAAATTTCTAGAAAATTTCTTAAAGAAATATCTGTTAATGTACCCATGTTAATTTTGTTTTTTCGATTTTTGTTATCTTGCTAGGTTATAAATATTAATAATTACTAAATATGATATGATAAATATTTAAATTAATATTCAAATTAACAAAATTAATTTATTATATTATTTATTTTGTTTTTTATATTTTTATTTTTTAATTAACACATTTAACTAAGAATACTAAAATAACAATTATATTATATGAAACCATTTGTAATCCAAATATTGTATAGTATTATAGTATATTGTTTATTATTTTTCAATTATACTGTATTACAATTTCTATAAATGGAGATCCGATAGTATAATTATAAAGTAAAATTTCTATAGAAATTTATTACAAAGAAACTTTCTTAGGTAAAATTAGAATTTTCTATTTGCCCATCTCTATTTATATTTCATTTGTATAACATAAATAATAATTTCATATTACAACATTTATAATATTTTTATTTGAATATATTTTATAAAATTGTTTTTTATTTAATTTTAAAATAAACATTTATATACAAAAGTAATTTTATATTTAGTTTTACTTAAATTAAAATAATTTAATATTAAATGCTATTATTTAAATATTTAATTATTAGTAATTTAATGAGTTGCTAATATAATTTATATATAATTATTAACTTAATATTTTTTTTAAGTAGTTTAATCAAACTAATAATATTATTTTTTTTCTTAAATTAATCAGTCAAACAATGATATAAAAGTTAAATAACATTTTCAAATCAGATAAATATTATTAATTTTGCATTTGTAAATTAAAATAATTAAATTTATTTAATAATATACGAGTAACGCTTATTAAATATAATATTTAAAACTCCAATATATTATATTTTATTTATAATTATAATTTTGCAAATAAAACTTTGTATATGTAATACTATTTAATATTAGTCCTAAATTTTTGTATTGTTTTCTATTTTAATAATATTTTAAGTTTACAAAGACATATAATCTTTAATTAGTCAACGATTTAAGCTTAAATATTTTAAATCATAAATATATTTTGATTTTTTGGGATAATTTGTTAATAAACCATATATTTATAAATCAAATATTATTTACAAACGTTAATAGATATTTTAATTGATGTTTTATATTTATAAATAATTTAAGTTGCATTAATAATTTTATTTGTTTTAATTTTCATATTTTTAAATTAAAATTTTTAATCAATTTATTCATTAAATACCCTTTGCTTGTTATTCAATACAATATAATTTTATTTGAATAATAACAAAATATTTTTATATAAAAACAAAAATAATATAAGATACAAATGTTATTTATATAAAAATTAGTATTACCAAGATCATCTATTACTGTATTTTAATAACTTATGATTAGAATATTTGTCGTTTGATTAACACATGATTTCAGTCAAATTGAGTGCAATTTTAGTATTTAATTATATTTATAAAAATATAATAATATATACAGTAAATACATATATTATAGTAAAACTCGATTTGTAGCAGTAATAAATAAATCATTGAAAAGTAATTGTAAAAAACAAAGATTTTCATTCAATATAATTATTTCCTGTTTTGTATCAAACCTATCAAAACTATATTTATCAAACTTAATGGAAAAATAAAAAAAAATATCACAAAATTATTAGATTTAGTAAACAATTAGATTGCAATTACAGTATAATTCAATTAGAGATTTTTTACTATAGAAAACCAATCAAATATATAAATTAAAGATATAAGAGGGCATCAAAAGTAATGCACTTTAGGAAAGTAACTCATTTTACCAATAGTTAAAACAACTCATAGTTAGGAAAACTATTTCGTTTTTTTTGTGACAATTTAAATTGTGAAATATCCAAATATACATATTTTATTTATAAATTATATCAATCTATATTATTATGTATAATTATATTGCCAGGCTAGTAAATTTGAACTATTTTTTAAAAAACATGACATTACGTATAAACACTTATAAATACTTTACGTATAATACTTACCACAATAATCTATAATGTATATAATAATTTAAATATTAGCTTTACTTTACTTTACTCACACTTTATTAAAAATAATATAAATACACATGTGCAATGGTATCAATTATAATTTAATTATATCAATAAAATTATAATTAACTTTGCATTTATATTAAGATCTAAGATTTATATCTTTCATATCTATATCTAGATTTTTTGTATATAGTTTATAGACTATAACTACAAAATTAAGACATTAATTTGAGTCATAAAATCTATAGTAATTAATTTCATGAGATCTCGGGTCAAATCAATCATTTATTCAATGGTTACTGACTTCAACTTTTTTTTAAAAAAAAACTTCAATCAATCAGTCATAAATAGGAATGACTTTATTATTAGGAATAGAAATTAACTTTAATTATATAATTACTACTTAAATATTATCAATTAAATGAATATAACAAAAAATGATTAATATTTATTTATCTTAATTTTTTATAGAAATACAGTAAACATGTAATAAATGGCAGTGAACTTATTATTAAATAAATTTAATATAATATATTTATAATACAATAAATATAGATTTAAACTAAAATATTAGACATAAATTATTAAAATTTTAAAAAGTTTAAACCAAACTTTTGACACATTTGTTGTCATTTTGTGCCCACAATGACAAATCTTTGCGCCTCTGAAATATAGCAAAAATATAAAAATAATAAAATATAAAAGTTATGTAAATCAGACAAACCATTATAACTATGTGTGCCATTATTACAGCTTCTATAGCACCGATAACTACAACTGCCGTTAAAGCAACCGATGAGTCGGGTTCTGGCACAGGGAGAGCATTCAAATGTCGGGTCACTAACTGATAATATCCGATAACCACTGATATAACCATTTGTTAAGCCAAACATCATAAGCCATGTAATGGCTATCCATGAGATTATAAGTTTTGCTTTCATCGTCAATCAGTCACTTTCAATGTACTCTCCAAGAACTCAATGAAAAATTAAAATACATTCAATGAAAGGCTTTTTATAGTCAAGTTGTTTATCAATTGAAGTTACAATTTCGTCACAAATTATCCATCAATACAAATGTGATCCAAAATATAAAATAAATTCAACGGAACTACACTCATAACTTATTATCTTATTTACTAAATATAAAGGTTAATATAGTTTATAAATATATTCATTTAATTAATTTATTAATTCTATATCTTTTTCAATATTATTAAAAGTTAGTAATTACAATTTATTTATTTATTTACTACAATATAAACAAAATTATTTTTATATTTGATTTAATTTACATGTAAGTGAAATTGTAAAGTTGAAAACCAAAATATTTATTAGATATAATGTAAAAAATATAATTAACTATTTAAATCTATTTTGAGAATATATGATTTTAAATATATTATTTAAAAATTTACCGCATACTGTATTGTATGATTTTTAGTTGTAGTATACTATTAACGTTATACATGTATTTATTTATTTAAAGCTATGATATTGTTTACGAAAAATGTATCACAAATATAATTTTATTTTCTGTATTTATTAATAAATTTATATTTTTTGTCAAATAAATTGTTTATACAAATAGAAATATGATTATTAAGATTAAAAAAAATTAATCGGATAATGAATTTTTGTACGATAATACATTTACTCCTTATGATATGATTTACTTTAATAAAATAAATATAATACAAATGAAATAAAATATTATTTACTTAACATTTTCAAAATTTCTTAATTAATTTAAAATAAAATATAAATTTTTTCTATTAAACATAACTTAAAATGTAAATATAATAATTATTTTAATAAAATAATTTATATACTATTATGTTTCAAAATTATTTGTTAACAATTTGTTTGTGGTTTTGTTTTTAAAATGTTGTGTCATTTAATATTTTTTTAAATGCTTAAAAGTAATGTCTTGGCAAACATTCAATGTTTCACTGAATGAATCAAACATTTACTAAAATCTTTTATATTTCAATAAAAATAAAATTTTCTAACATTTTTATGGCACTATTTTGCATAAAAGTATATTTAAGAAATATTTATATAATAACATTTATAGTTACCGTTAAGACATTATTTTTAGATGTTTATTATTAAACAAAAAAAATAATTATTTTTAATTTTAGTTACTAAATGTCATGTGTTTTATAAAATGCTTATACTGTACGATAAAATTCAAAAATGAATGCAATTCTAAAAATATTTAAATAATAAACACTATAATAATAATAATAATAATAATTTTTTTTTAAGTCAACTAAATTAGATTATGAAACAAAAATTATAATCATAATAAAAAAAGATGTCATATAAACAAGAGTTAGTCGATAAGTACAATAATAAAGTTATAATTTTTATTTTATTAATGTATGAGAAATCTAACAATTGATACATAAAATGTTGTAAATTATATTTCTATGAAGACGTGTCATAGAAATAAATCAATAAAAACCAATAAATGATGACAAAGACAACAAAAAATAGTGGAAATACATATCTACTAATATAGTCAACAAAATTCAAGTGTCGATTGCACTTACAGTTTGCCTCTAATTTATTATTCATTTCACCAAATGATTTGATGAGACTATGAATGACTTCCGATAATTCTTGCAAAGACTTTATCCTATTTTCGTCTTTAAGAAAGACTTCTTTGTTATCGTTAATAGTGTTGTCTTTTGTGATTTTTCTGGTAAATAAATGACTTTCTTTGTTATCATTGTTGATGTCCTCCAGAGTGTCGCTTTGATTGGCATTTGATGTCCTGATTTTGTTTGCGCGAAATTCATGTAATATTAGACTTACATTCTTCTTAAATGAATTCTTGGCCTTCAAGTTGCCGTCGATGTCGTAGTAATGAGATATAGTATAAGCAAAAGCATACTCCATGAGCGCCAAGAATACCATTATTAGACAAACCAGAAGCCAAATGTCCACTGCTGTCACGTGATTGGCTGCCTTCTCATAGTTAGTCAATATTTGGGTCATTATAGTTAAAGTCGACATAATTCCTAATATATTGTAATGTAAATCAAAGATTGGCTATAATTACATCCAATCAATAATATATAGATATACCTAAAGACATTCTTCCGGGAACAGCCTCGACATCAAACCAGAACTGAATCCACGAGAGTGTGACCACTAGTGAACTGGGAATGTAAACGGTTAGCACATTAGCTGTGATTCTTCGCTCAAATATGAACTCCAAGTCAAGAACCGTATAGTTTTCATTAAACCATTTGATTATTTGTTTCTTGTATTTACCGATCTTTATGTTGAATAACGACGGCGTAAATTCATTTATATGAATAACACTTGTATTTTGTTGTAAATCCAATAAATATTGAATAGGACTTGACTTGTCTTCAATCCAATGAAGTGTTACTCTTTCAATGGGTTCTGAAACTGTATTCAAGATAAATATTTTATTGCAAAAATAATTAATTATTATCAAAAACAAAAAATTTAGTTGAAAGCTTTTCTAAGATTTTGTTATTGTAAAAAATAAAATGAGATAATTTAGTCTAAAAGCTATTTAAAAAATTATTCAAAATTGTTTAGTGGAGCATAACTGTCCAAATAACCTACAGGTGCGAATGTTGAACTGACACGTATGTCTATCCATTGGATAGGTCTGCAGATTCATATGACAACTAACTTTGAAAGAATGCCTATAAATCAATTGTTTTTTTTCAATTTAATAACTTATTTAATAATAATGAACACTGTTTTGTTTGATTATCTGTAAAAACCTTGATTTCCTTATTAAAACGTTGTCTCTTTTGATTTTAATGACAGTTTTGGGCTCAAGTATTGTTTCTCTTTGAGTGCTGCCGTCAAAAACCAGTGAAGGCGTCCAAAAACATGAAGAATATTCTTCAGGTACTGATATAAAGTCATCTTCAAATTGATTGGTATTCAGGCGATTGTCTAACCAAACTTCAAACAGATATAATTGAAGAGAAAAATACTGTCAAAATTAAAAAATAACTTTTTTAATTAAATATCACAAAATATAAATTTAATTATTAATTTTGTAAACACATAACAAAAGATTATTATATATTTATAACTTCAAATTAGTTAATTTACTATTTTAACATTTGAAATAATTATTATGCACAATGTCTTTGAAAAATAAAATATAGCATAGATTTATTGTTTTGATTAAATAATTTGGCATTGAAAAGTGAAAACAATGTACTTGTAAATGATTATTAATAAAATATAATACAAATATATCTATATTAAGGACATTATATTTATTTTGTCACAACAAATGAGACAACATTAAGCAAATATATATATAATTAAAAAAAAAGTTTTCTTACATTTTCCGCATCATTAATAGTATTCACGTCTAATATCTCGATACCGATATATACCGGATGAGCTTTATTAAGGAAATTACATAATTAGAAGATATATTTATTAAATATTATTTAATATAAAAAAAATATATAAATTACAAATATAATAAAAAATTTACTAATTTAATATTAGCTATATTATTATTATTAACTAATAATTAATATTTTTATAATCTAATTACAGATTAATCAGCAATCAATATTATGAATAAATTATTAAATTTACTTACATTTATTTGGTGGTGAAAATGTCATATATTCTTTAGGTAACAAAGATTTTATTTTTAAGGGATTATTTTCGTTATCATAACTAATATATAAAAAACAAAATTTATATATCAATTATAAAAAAAATTATAAAATTCTAAATATAATAATAAATTAGTAATCTATGTGTGATCATACTTGCATTGTTTTGCATCACAATTAATTACATGAAAACAGTTGACACATAATATTATTAATAAAAAGTTTATTACACTATTATGACAAATGTCAATTGTAAAGTTATATTTGAAAAACATATTGTCTGTAAAAATCCTATTTTGATTACCACTGCTTTGATATAATAGACATAAATAAATTTATAGTCATTGTAGTCATTGATACTAATTTAAAGCTGTATCTGATATTTCTACTCTATTTTGCTTTAATTATATGTCATCGCATATGTAAGACACGAGTTTACTATAACAATGTTTGGCATTTATAAGAGACAGAGAGAGAGAGAGAGAGAGAGAGAGAGAGAGAGAGAGAGAGAGAGATAAAAATTTGAAAACAATAAAAATGAATTGAAAATACAAACAATACAAACACACAATGACTTTATGAGTGAAAAAACGACATTTACAATATACAGTATATAATCAGATAAAAGATAATCAAAATAAACAGTTATTACACAAATTGAAAAAAATCAATCAATAATATTCTTAGTTTTTACTCTATTTTTAACACATTCATAGCACTTGTTTGACTTTTTTCTTGATTAATCGTAATATTACTTTTCACACATGAATATCAATTGATTAAATTAATATTTGAACATGGAACATTTAATATATTGTAGAATTTATATTTTAAATTATCATTTCGCTAATGAATATATTGCAGAATATTATTATTAACAATAAATTATTTTTTAATATAAAACTCTAATTATAGAATCTATAGTAATGATTTGGAAATTTACCGTCTATTATGTAGAAACACATTAATATAATAATGAAATTTTACAAAATTAATAATAATAGTAAAAATGTCAAATAGGTGGTGAATAGATTGTATATACTTTATATTGATGTGTAAAACACTTACAGTAATGAAGTGACGATAAATGTTTTGAATGTTAAATACTTGAAGTGGTATTCAAATTAATATTATATACGCAAAGAATGGGAACACATTTCGCATGTGTTTTAAAAATAGCTTTCAATTGATGTGAGATTAAGTCGCAAACCTATCGACGCTTTTTTGGTGAGTCTCTCCTTTCAAAACTACTTACTCTTCTATTACTATAAATACAACTCTTTTTTAGACTAATATTTAACTAAAAATAAATTGTAAATAAAACTTGAATTTTTAAACCCATTATAAATCTGTTACTCTATTTTTTACTATTTATTGTGTAAATATTATTCTTTGTAGAATATTCTTCAAGTATTATATTATCTAAATTTTTGTTATTGTCATTCATAACCTAATTTATATTTATATAATTATTGTATTTAGTATTCTTGTATTGTTGTATATGCTGTAAATAGTTTTAATTAATTAAGATGTGTGTAAATTATATATTAATATATCTATTGAATTGAAATGATTTTATTTAATTTATACTGAGTATTAATACAACTATTAGCTAATTTGCATTAAAGTCTAGTTTTAATTACAATTAACAACAATTACTAATAATTCAATTGATACCATAATAATTTTAATTAATTAATTAAATTAACTTAAAAATACTTTTTCTCTAAATGATCTACTGTTTAATTTATTAGATATTTGAATGTTGAAAAATAATAGTCATTTATTATTATTAATATAACAGTAAATTTTTATTAGACAAAAATTTATTGAGATTTAAAATCAGTTATTAAAATGACATTTAAAAAATTTAAACAATGTAACTTAATATTTGTATAAATGTATTATAAATAAGATATTTTGTGAAATGACACAAATTATAATTTTTGGATACATCCCATCAGTTTATTCAAAATACGATTTAAAGCACATTTATGAATTAAAAAAAACAAAACAAATAACTTATATACTATTTACTATATTACATAAGAATTTATTTAAACAATTTAAAATATTTTATATTATTAGAGAGATTATTGTTTAATTGTTTTAATGTTTAGTAAATTTTATTATATTAAAAAAGTATTATCGGTATAAGTATTACTGTAGACAAAAAAAATTATGTATACATATTATAAAATTTACATAAAATATAATAATTTAGAAAAGATTGGATTTTATATAACTAAAATAACTGGATAATCAAGTTTTATCAAACTAAACATTTTGTAGCTCTTTTATAGTAATGATAGACATAGTAATGTAGTATTTTTAGTATCAATGAAACAATTAGATTACAATTTTAAATAATTAATAAAATAATGTAGCGGTAAAATACTGATAGATTATTAGTATTTGTGTATTTAACATAAACAAAATGTATTTAATTAAAAAAGTTTATTTAATAGTATTAAATATAATAATATTTATAATTGATTTATTTAAAAATGTTTTTGTGTGGCGAAGAAAATGTTTGAGCAAAAGAAAACTCGATAACAAAGTAGTGCTAATAACTGGCGGTAACTCCGGTATCGGCAAAGAAACGGCATATCAACTGTCATTACGTGGCGCTCAAGTAATACTTATTTGTTTCCCCGTTATTACATTATATTGTACAGTATTTTAAAATTGTTTTTAATAATAATAATAAAGATTATCATTGGTTGTCGTAATATAACTAAAGGAAATGAAGCCATCAATGACATCAAAAGTAAGAATCCAAAGGCAAACATTCGAGTCTTTCAATTAGATTTGGGATCACTTTTATCGGTCCGAAAGTTTGCCCAAACTGTGGCCCAACACGAGTCCACTATTGATATCCTTATAAACAATGCCGGAGTTGTGTCGTACGTTGAGTTGCAAACTGAAGATGGCTTTGAATTACAGTTTGGGACCAATCACTTGGGTATTGAGTAATATATATAAATTATAATTCAATATTTTATTGAAAATATATTTATTAAATTTTAGGTCATTTTTTGTTGACACACTTATTATTGCCATTATTGAAAAATTCACAAAAAGCTAAAGTTATTAATGTTTCTTCAAAAGCTCATAAAACTGGAAAAATTCATTTTGAAAATATAAATCTAAGGAACGGTATATTTACGCCATTGAAAGCCTACTCTCAAAGCAAATTAGCTAATGTTTTGTTTACACGAGAAATGACCCGAAGATTAGGTCCAAAAAGTTCAATCACTACATACTGTTTACATCCCGGCATAGTTAGGACAGATTTAAACCGTCACTTTCCGTTACAGTTTGCGATCAATATATTTATTAATATGTTTTATCTGGACATTGAATCAGGTGTTCAAACCACACTTTATTGTGCACTCGACCCAAGTCTTGATAATGAATCTGCATTTTATTACGAGTTAGTATAAAAATATTCATTCAAATGTAAATTCAATAAAATTATTTTTTCTAAAGTAATAATAAATATACTATTAATATATTTCAATAATTACTATATTTATATTGAAGTGATTGCCAGCGCGTCGATCGTATGACTCGTATATCTACTGATGAAAACATAGCAAAAAAACTTTGGGAACTAAGTTGTGATTTAGTAAAACTAGAGCCAAACTTAACAATATAATAAAGTTGTGTCAAATACCGTCAAAATTATATAATAAACAGTATATTACAAAATTACATCTAAATTTTATATGAATTGTAAATAGAATTAAAATTAAAATTTTTGTAATTTGTATTTTTATTATGTTGTTGTTATACATATATTTTTAATAAAATTAATTTTGAATAATTTTTAAATTCATAGATTAATTTTAAAATTATTTTATTACAATGTAATGTCTGAGCTAATGAATTCATTAATCTAAAATAAACTATTGTATTAAATATATAATCTATAAAACACATTATGTCTAAATAATTAACAAAATTCTATATAAAATATGTTATAATATAAAACTTTTACATAATGTTTACGTATAATATTATATAGTATTATATATAAATTACTTATTTAAAAATATATTACTAATTGATATTATTCGTAATATTTACAGTACAGTATATAAACATTGATATATTGTACTTAAAATATAGTAAATAAAAGTATAATAATTAAAATATATTTACGTAAATAGAATTTTAATTCCCAATAAAGTAAAATAAAAGCATAAATACAGTACAATCAAACATACAGTTTATTAAATGTTAATTATTACTATATTAAATAAACAATTATAAATATTATAAGAACTATTAATTTAAAAATATATTTTATCTCAAATATCTTAAGTAATTTAATATTACAATTATATAATTATTAAATAATAATAGTTTATATTTACTTTATATACTAGTATATATAATGAATGTGTACTATATTAAACTATTACAGTAATATATCAAAATATTTAAGTAACTTTTAAATACTTTTAATTTTGTAGTTAGAATTATTAATAGTAAAAATTAGTTATATTTTTATCTTAAATAAATATTTTTTAAAATTTAGCATCAATTATAAAAACATAATAAAGTAAACACTTAGTTGTTAAACTAGTTTTTAATTTGTGAATTTCAAGTTTAGGTAAGTTTACCTTAAAGTTGAAAAGTTGTAATGCAATAATATCTTTTAAAATGTTATTTAAACTTCAAACTGGTTATACTATTAAAGTAAATTTATAAAATTTATTGATCGACAGTAAACGTCAAATATTATAACATCTGTAGTATTTATCAAATTTCTTATAAATAACTTAATTTTTTAGTAAATAAATTATTTATTTTAAATAAATTTTTTAATTGATTGCAATTATAATTAAAAGTATTTATTCGTTTTATTTAATAAGTATACTAATATTTAGTTTATATTATTTATTGTTTTTTAAAAATACATGATACTGAATAAAACATTATAATAATTTATCTTGTATTATAAAGTAAATAATAATAAATAATCATTGATCACATTAAGCTAATTAAGATTTTTATATGAAATATTAATTAAAACTATCGATTTGTATGAGTTTTAAGGAATGGCTGTAATAAGCGAAATAATTATTGATTATTTAATCATTTTTAAATATTATGCAATTTATTTGTGCAAATGTTTCTATGAATTTTTTATAACAAATAAATTTAAATTTAGAAAAAAGTGTAAATCAAACAAAAGACTCGATGGAAAAGTAGTTGTCATCACTGGTGGTAATACAGGGATTGGAAAAGAAACTGCTTTACAATTATCATTACGTGGCGCTAAAGTATGTTATTAATTGTAACAATTGTTACAATTTACAAAATTATATCTTTAATTTATTTTAAATTTAATACAACATTATTAATATGAATATAATTTTTGTTTGTAGATAATAATTGGTTGCAGAAATGTCCAAAAGGGTGAGATTGCAGTTCAAGATATAATAGCGAAAAATGTATTGTCAGACATACGGGTTTTATATCTGGATTTGTCGTCACTTTCATCTGTTAGACAATTTGCCCAAACAGTGACACAACTCGTGTCTAAATTAGATATCCTTATAAACAATGCCGGAGTTATGATGACTCCCGAGTCGACCACTGAGGATGGCTTTGAACTGCAGTTTGGGACTAACTTTTTAGGTAATTATCAATACTAGTGTAAGTTTTTCAATTGAATCGAAAATTTAAAACAAAATTATTATTTATCAAATATATAGCACATTTTCTACTAATTCATTGCTTAATGCCATTATTGATAAAGTCGTCAAAAGCACGAATAGTTAATTTATCATCAATTTGTCATATATTAGGAAAAATACATTTCAATAATATTAATCTTAAAGACGGTCACTACAGACCACTTAAAGCCTACAGTCAAAGCAAATTAGCCATTGTTTTGATGACTAGAGAAATGGCCCGTCGGTTGGGAACTAATACTAATATCACTGTCTATAGTCTTCATCCGGGAGTTATTCAAACAGAAATCACGCGACACTTTCCCGCTTATCTCTATTATCTCATTAAACCATTTATGACAACCATAGAGTTGGGCACTCAAACCACACTCTACTGTGCAATTGATGAAACACTAGACAATCAAACGGGACTTTACTATGAGTAATTTATTTGTTATGAATAATTAGTATTTTTTTATTAAGTATTTTTTATATTATAATTTTTTAAAGTGATTGCAAACGAGTCAATAATATGATAGCACCAGCTATTGATGACAACAGCGCTAAAAAATTGTGGGAATTGGCCACTGATTTAGTCAATCTTGAAGATAGTCTCAAAATTTGATTCACTATTATAGTATTTATTACTAGACAGTGAATTATCATTATTTTAATTTGCATATTTATATATATATATATCAATAAATGGTGTAAAACATTCAATTATTGTAAGCATTTAATTATTTAAAAAAATACTATATATAGTATAAATAGAGACTACACTGTATTATACGATATACAGATATACCGGTAAGTTATATCATTATAATTCATATAACTATTTTAATGACTTTTAGTTTAAAAATTTTTGTATTAAAGACTGCTTACAAATATTGTGACAAAATATGCGAATATATATATAAGTTGAACTTAATTGGTATAATTTTTTAAATCTATAGATTTCAATAAACAGTATAAATGATAATTAATGTATGAATGACATATAATCTAAAAAAACTAGAAGCTATTATATAAATAGTTTATATAAATCTGTAATATAAATAGTTAAATATGCTTTATATGTTAAATGATATATTAAGACTTTCTTATAAATAGTAGACTTTTAAAATTAATATATAAATAAACAATTCTTAATTTTAAAATTTTATAAATAAAAAGTGTCTAGATCAATTAATTAGTTAATTAATTATAATGAATTTAATAATTGTCCTAATATGGAATTGATTCTATTCAATAAAAATTTTAACTACAAAGTACTGTAATTAAAAAATTTCTTATTATATTTATAATTATTACAGCAATACTGTATACAATAGATACAGATTATAGAATAAATAATAAAATTAAATTATTAATATGAAGAATTTTTTTCTCTATTATACTGTTATTTTAATAATAAACAATTTTTAATCAATAATTTATATTATAAATAAAGCATGAATTTTATTATTACAGTGGAAAATTTATTTATTATTACAATATTTTTATTATAAATTTGTATTTATTTATTATGATATGAAAACTTTAGATATAGATATATTGATTAAATACTTTGTTTATAACGTTTAACACTAAACATTATAGTAATATAAAAGTACCAAACATATGATTGCAATGTATTGGAAAATATGATACTTTTAGAAAATAAAAAGAGAGTGAATTTTGCCGAAACATAATTATAATTTATAATTATTTATTAGGTTTAAAATTTTAAGCAATTTTACATTCTATACAATAGTTATTTATACTTATAATTGAAACTTATGTTAATAAATATACGGTATGTATGTAATTATTACTGTAAATAATTTAAATTGAAAACTAATAACAATCATGATAAATTTTTAGTGTACATTAATTTAGTATAATATTAGTATTGATCATAAATCAGTTAATAGTAAATGTTATACTATTTAGTTAATGATAACATAATAATATATATGCCCTCACTGTATATACAATACTGTATTATAAAAATCAATTATTAATAGGGTTGGCACAGACAAAATGTTCATAGATTTTATATTTATTAATAATTATGTGATTATTAATAAAAATAAATAAATTTAGTTTTTTTATATTTTTTAATTAATCAAGATTTTATACAAAATTACATAATGAGCCATTAATGTCAAAGTTTAAAAACAACTATAATATATTGTAATTAATTTTGATGTTTAATATTAATTTGTTATTTAAATTAATTGTATTTTTACTCTTAAAAATAACGATTATTGTAACGATAATGATATATTAAAATAATAATATTCACATTAAATATTATATATATATTAGTTGAAAAATATTTTAATAATATAATACATTGTATAGTAAAGTATTATATTGTATTAGACAAAGTCGGAATTCAAAAACCTTGAATAGTTTAAACACTGGTTATTAATATTTATAATATATAATAATTTATATGTTATTATATTGAGTTAATTACATGCAAAACATTATGTACTAAATGAACTGTACTAAACAAAGTGCAACTCCACTAACTAAACTGCAAAACAATATAAATAAACTTATTATATATCGTATCTCTATATAAAAGTCTAACACTTAAATATTGTTATTATTGTTTAATCTATAGATGTAATATAAATTTATTAATATATTAATTGAAATATTATTAAATTATAGAAATTTATGAACTAGTGTTTAGCAATTTAATTGTTTGTTAATTTAATTATTTGAAATACAATGACTTTTTTTAATGATTTAATTGTGAAAATTAGCACTTCTTTTGAGATTTTGAAACTAATATTTTGGAAAAGAAGACGATTTACAAAAAAAGTTGATTTAAATGGTAAAGTAGTGTTAGTAACGGGTGCTAACACTGGGATCGGCAAAGAAACTGTATATCAATTGGCATTAAGCGGTGCTAAGGTATGTCATTATTCATTTATTTAAGAAATTATAACATTAAACACCAAAAAAATATCATATATTCATAAATAATTACAATATTTTTTAAACACTATAACTTAAATATAAAAATATTTATTAATAGTTAGTCTATGGCATCTGAAATATAATTTGCTAAAAGTTATTTAATTAATATATATTTTAATAAACTATTTGTAATATAAGGTGATAATTGGGTCCAGAAATGTTGAAAAAGGTGAAAATGCCGCCAAAGATATCCGTTCCCGATATGAAAAGGCCAACGTTGTGGTCATGAAACTAGATTTGGCATCATTTGCATCTATAAGACAGTTTGCCAAAGAGCTTAAGGAACGGGAGTCAAAATTGGATATATTGGTTAACAATGCGGGTGTTATGCGCTGTCCTTACTCTACAACCGAAGATGGTTTTGAAATGCAATTTGGAACCAATCACTTGGGTATTGAATTTAATTAAAATTAATTTTGTTTTTATTTAACTTATGTTTATATTATTATAATAATTACTATCATTTGTTGTTGTCTTTGGTTGTCTATCTTTAGGTCACTTTTTATTGACTCTATCAGTGATGAGTCTTCTTCAGTCGGCACCGAAGGCCAGAATAGTGAACGTTTCGGCCGCTCTTTACGTTTTCGGAAAAATACATTTTGAAAACATTAATTTGCGTAACAATGCTTACACACCACTAATGGGTTACTATCAAAGCAAATTAGCTAATATACTCTTTACTAAAGAGTTAGCCACACGTCTCGGTTCAAAAAGTAGTGTCAATGCTTATAGTTTACATCCCGGAGTCATTGAGACTGAATTACAGCGAAGTTTCCCGAAATGGATGACACGTTTGGGTAAAATTCTGACAATTAGTCTCGAAATGGGTGTCCAAACAACACTGTATTGCGCTTTGGATGATAGTCTTGACAATGAATCCGGATATTATTATGAGTAGGTTTTTAATTCATATTTCAAATTAATTATTTATTATTATTGATTTTTAAATAATTATTAATTAATTGATTAAATTTTATATTATAGTGATTGTCAAAGAGTTAAACGAATGACAACAAATGCCACGAATGAAGAGTCAGCCAAAAGATTGTGGGAAATGAGTTGCGATTTGACTAAACTTGAAGATCACTTTAGAATCAATTAATTATATAATAATTTACATTTTATTTTTAAAACACTATCTTATTATTAATTAAAATGATTGGAATTCAGTGCTTTAGATAATACTAAACATTAGATTCATAGCTCAATGAAAAATATGTTTCGACATAAATAGTATTTTAAACATTAACTAAAAATTATTAAAAATTATAATACTTTATTAATTAGTAAAAATAATGGTAATTAAACTTATAATGTATATAAAAAACTATTTAAAAAGGTTGAAATGTTGAAATATCATGATAAATATTACCAACCATATTGAATTTTGAAAACTATCATTAAAACTAAAATTGAATTATATTTTTATCAATAAAAATCATTTATATAATAGTTATTTATTAATAAAAAGCACTATTTAAATTTTGTTAAAATTAATTTAAAAATTAATAATTAAAATTTTTATAATATTTCCTAATTAAGCACCTTTGTGTAAATATTGATGTGATAATATTTACACAAAGGTGCTTAATGTCTATGTACTACATAGTATGTATTGATAGATTCAATTTATTATAAAATCATTTTCACTTAAAAAACTCATTAAATATATTTAAATATTTATTTTCAATGTATTGCCATTGAGTTTACAAAAATATTATTTAATTTTATAAAATAGTTGAAACAGAATAAAAAAAATGTAAACTCTATTGCAATACATTAAAGCTTTAATTGTGATTAAAATAATATACTATTTTGACAACAATCGCTAAATTTTTCTCAATTTTTCACATTAACTATGAGTTACTTTTATTTTTTAAATTAATTTAATATTAAAATTAATTACTTTTACTCGTCTTTGGAAGCGCTCTTTGTTTGTTCTTCTGTTGGATTTTCCCCCGATTTTTCGCCTTTCGTTTCGTTCGTTTTCTTGTCTTGATTTTGTTTCTTATGATTTGCCATTTCTGAATATAATCGCTTCAATTAGTTGTCAATAAAAAAATACTTATAGATCTCATATTGTTGTCCCGCACGACCTAAACTAATCTTTATATAAAATATTAAATAGATTTATATAAATAGATGTATAACGAGATATGATAACAATTTTTTTAAATCAGTTAAATTTCAAATCTCAAGACAAGTAACTGCTAACAAAAGAGCGCTGGCGACCAAAGAGCGTCAATTAGGAGCACATATAGGTCTAAAATGGTGTCCAAACATAGGATTCAAGCGATGTCATCATTAAGAGTGACCACCACTTCAAAGATCATTTCCGCGTCAAATATATTGTTATTTACTGATAGAAGTCAACGACAAATCAGTAAAATTATAAAACAGAGACCAATATCCAAGTGTTGTGTTTTACCGAAAAATAAAGTTTCTATAAATTTGGTCGCACGAAGTGGTGGTCCTAAACCTGCTCGACCTAAACCACCGCAAACTCATGAACCGGACGACCCGCCAGACACAGAGAAATCTATTATTCGCCGCAAATTCCCAAAACCCAGACCACCTCAACCTCAACCTAACGTTTGGTGACTAATTGATAGCATAAATGACTGAATATTTGTTTAAAAAATAAAGTTTATAAAAATAAATACATTATTTACAATAACATGCAATTATTTTTTAATATTCAATTAACTATTTCAGTAATACTATCGTAAAATCTTTAGAAAAAATAGTTAAATGATTAAAGAAAAAATTTATTAAATAATTTTTTTATAAAAGTAATGAATTTAGTGTTGTATAAATAATATCTAATTTAAAATAAATATATACGATATTATATAACAATTGTTAACCATTATTGGCATTATCTTCATCTAAGTCGACAACATTGATGTCATACATCTCGAGTTTCATTGATATTCTTTTCTTTATTTTCTCGATTTCTTCTAATTTTTTACGTCTGAAGAATCCATACTTTATTTATAAAAAATAAATCATTATTAAATTTATTATTATAATTAATTAATAATAAATTTCTAATCTTACTCTAATCAAAACAATAATAGTTAAGATCAATACTAATAAACCGGTACCAGAGCTAACCATAACAACCCACGGTTTAATCACTTCATCTTTGATTGGATCATCTCTTACCATATATATAGTCGTAGTGGTCGATGAAGTGATTGGTGTTTCATATTTGATATTTTCTTTGACTTTTATTTGAGATGTTATTTTCAAAGTAATATCACTGAACTCTAAGTGTTTGATATTGTATGGTATGAGTGATAGCGATAGTATAAATGGTTGATTATAATCGCCTGAATTGAAATCTGGTAAACGACACGAAAATGTTGAACACTTGGTCTCTAATGATTTCTCGCAATTCTGTAATTATCAAAAAATAATAGTCTAATTAATATTTATTTGTTAACTAATTATTGATTTACCAAATCAAGAGTTTTATTGACAATTGGGAAATCTGTATGACTTTTTGCTGATACTAATTGATCACATATAGTGTGAGACTCCTATTATATTAAATGATACATTAATAACAATAATTTCTGTCAATTAGTCTACAAAATCATACACTACTGGGAACTATGATATTGTGTGGTAACTGAAGATCAATGAATGCCGACGTTACAGAACTGGGACCCGATTTGACCAAATTATAGGGCAAATCAAATGCCACTCTTCGTGTTTTGTCTGAAAATGAAAACTTCTCCATTGTATCACTAAAAGTCAATTTATTGTATTTTATTTATTAGTTTTAAATATATGTTTCAAATATTCAAGTATTTACTAAACATACTAATAATTACCTAAATATTGTTAAACTTGCTTTTCTTATGATCTGAAAACTCATTGAATCAGTTAATCTACTGTTTCTTTCAACTTCACTATTACTGTTGAGTTGAAAATCAATTTTCAGTGCATTTGTTGTAACCTTTGATACAATGAAATGTAGATTCATATGAACGGGTCGACCCTTTTGTAGTCTTCGGCTAACATTACACTTATAAGCGGAGATGTCTTCTATGGCCTTACATTTGTACGCTTCGGCACTGTTCGTCAAATTCAACAAAATTGGTGACATTTTTATTGTTAAAACTGTATTCAAAGAGGGATCTCCAGTGTTGACAACACTGATTTCGACATCTATGGTATCGTGTAATCCTTCAATTAGATTGGTATGAATGGGTAATCCCTTATATTTAGAAACGGCTGTCATTGCTAATCGTGACAAACATTTTTGTGTTTGACATCCGTGATTAAAGTCAATCTAATTATTGAAATGTAAAGTTTTTTTAGTTTCAAAATGATTGAACTATAATAATAAACGCGTTTTACATATTCATATACAGAATGTATAGCAGCTATGGCACAGTCACTACAGAACTGAGTGGTCGTCTCATTCTGGATGTCAACCGTTATCTTCAATTCAATTGGTGTCAAAATATCATTCAGTGTTTCTGGTTTCTAGATTTTTTCAAAATTAATTAATCATCAAATCAGTAATATTTTAAAAAAATTAAATCATTATTAAAAACTTGCATTAAGAATAAGTTGATTATTAAAACAGTTTTGTTGATTAGCTTTTAATTCAACAATTTTTTGTTCAAATTTTGTGTTACTTTTAGCCAAAACAGCTCTCAATTCTCTTACTTTTCGATCTGTTATCTCAACAGTAATTAAAATCATTTGTTTATCTCTAATGAATTTTCCCATATATTGAACACAATAATTGATTTTGAAGCAAGAATTTTGATTGTTATTACAATTATTGTCATCGATTTGTATCCTTTTTGGTTCAAAACTTATATTAGTTATATTTAACGTAGCAATTGGTTTAGTCCTATTAATTTAATTTAAAATAAAGCCAATACTAATTTTATTGATTTAAACCAATATTGATTTAATAAGTTTATTATATTAAATGTAATATTAATAAACACCTGAGAAGTACAGCATTTTCCGATAAATAAGAGCCAACGAGTATATCATTATAACCGTTGGCATCAAAATCAGTATTACTCGCAATACTTATTCCGAAGCCTTGTATAACATTAGGTAAGCTTTCAGATCCTATTCTCTATAAATGATAATTAATAATATAATATATAAATAAATGTAGAAATTTTTATAACATATCATAATTAATAAAAAAAATCACTTGAAAATTATTGGTATCCAAACCACTATCAGATCCAAAATAAATATAAATAGCACCCATACTATTATGATTATTTTGTTCATATGGTGCACCAACTATAACATCTATTTAATAAATATATAAATATTATCAAAATACAACAATAATAAACATTTTTATTTACCAATATAGCTATCAATATTGACATCACACGATGAAAGAGCTGTCCCAAAACGGCCACCACTTTTGTGTCCAAAAATTATTTTTTCAATTAAAAATTTTTTCTCCTATTTTTTTGTAAAAATATTACAATTAAATAAAAAATATTTTAAGACTAAATAACTGAAAACCTCGTCGTCTCTCAAATAGACGTAAATTCTTCCGATTTCTCTTTGATTTTTATATGAATAAATCGGTGCTCCTATTATCAGCTCATCCCTGGTGTCACCATTTATATCGATTGCTACAAGAGATGCCCCAAAATACTCTCCTTTATCAGGCGTTTCACTCGACACTTCCCATATATATTTGGACACAAGAGTTCCGCTTTTAGTTATTCTTTTAATAGGATATATTAATACCTAAAAAATTAATAATAATATTATATTTACTAAATATGATATAAAAATATATAAATACATTTAACTACCTTTCCATCAAAGTTATCATATCTGGGAGCACCTATAGCTAAATATTCTTGTTGTCCATCGAAATAACCAAAATTTATTGAATATCCCAAATAACTATTAACTTTTAATGTATTAAGACTAAACACATCAAGTATTTTCTCATTTGATAACCGGTCGACATCACCATCTTTATGTTTAACAGTAGATCCGGTAAAATCAAGAAAACCCGGAGCACCAAAATACAACTATTTTATTCATTATTTTAATTAAATAATCAAATATTAAGCATTAATGACACAAAAAATATAACACAAACTTGATGTTCATAAGTGACTGCAGATGAGAAACCCATCATTAGATGATTATGATAAGGTCTGCCGTTAATAACGGCCACATCTCCTGTATGTGCAAAACCATCGTAAGCCTGTGTTTTCGGATCAATACGATAACACCGACCAACTGGAAAATCACGAGAATTAACCCATAGATGAGCGCATCCAACAAAATATTCATCTTTTGTTATCAAAGATGAGCCCAAATTCATGTCATTTGTTAATTTTGACGAATAAGATGTCATATCTAATGTGTATTTGAAATACAAATTAAATTATATTTTAAATGAAATAAATTATTATTATTATAAAAATGGTAAAATACCCTTGCTAAAATTAATTTCACCACATTCTATGTTATCTTTATTTGTTTGTTTGAATTTCCACAAACATTGAAACAATGCCCCACTTTTTCTAACATTACCGTAAAGTGTCGATTGATATTTAGGCGCTCCGATTATTATACTTATCAAAATCAATTAATCAATTATCGATTTATTTTTTTTATTTTAATAATTAATAAATTAGTAAATTAAAAAAATTCTTACTAATTGTTGCCATTTTGTTGAATAGTACTTAAAGTGTATCCAAAATATGATCCATTTATGTCTTGACTATCACTGGAAACAGATTTTCGGTGAGAAAAAATTATTGGAAATTTTGTATCAATATTATTATTGCTAATCACTATTGAAATTAATAATGATAATATAAATAAATAGATATAAATCATATTAAAAATCATTTTTAAATAATAAAAATAATTTACTATTTATTATTATGAAAGTTAATTGATTTCATTTTAAGTTTTGTTTTTCAAAAAGGATATCAAAAATTTCCGTTTAATTCAAATGCTTTTAACTTATCATTTCCCATCAAAAATTTACATTAAAATAAATTAATAGTTAGTATAACTTTACAAAAAAATATGATTTTTATTAAATAATATTTGTTATAATTAAACTTTTAAACTATGTATCATTTCAATTATATATATATATATTAAATAATAACATAATATTATTTTAAAAGTAAATCAATTGCATCGCTAAATGTTGGCAATAGATAATTGGGCGGCGGATTGATCATAGTTTCATCAGACGCTCGATATTTGCCGGTCTGTACCAAAATTCCGGTCATTCCTAATCTCTGTGCGCCGTCAATGTCGTCTCTGACGTCCTGATAATTATCGGTACATATAAATCAAATAATTGATAATTAATTACATTATGCTATTAAGTATATAATATTTATGACATTCAAAGACATACATCACCGATCATAACGGCTTCATCCGGTCGACAATCAAACGGTTCTAATGCTTGCATAAAAAATTGGTCGTTGGGTTTGCCGACAACCATGGCTTTGGTATCGGTTGCGAATTCAAGTGCAGCCACAAAGGGTCCGGCGGCCAAACAGAGACCACTGTTTGTCTTATAATATCTCGATTTATTGATTGCTATGAGTTGTGATCGGTTTAATAACATATGAAACGCTGTATTCATTGATTCATAATTGAAACGATTTGGTGCCAAACCAATGACCACTCCGTTACCTATTGTTATATCAATTGGTTTAGAATTTTTAATATAATTATCATTTATATATATACCGTCTTCGTGTTCAGTTTGCACACACGGTATGTCTTCAAAATCTTCTTTGGCCTCATCGGCGAGCATTAAATATGGTTTAAGTTTCAGTTTTTTGACCAACTCTTTAGCCGCTAATAATGAAGTAAATATTTCCTCTTTTCTAATATCAAATCCAATTGATTTCAAACGATTATACAAATAATTTTGACTTTCTTTAGTAGTGTTCGTCACAAATCGCAATTTAAGACCTGATGACCGAAGTCTATGACAAAGTATTTACAATTATTGTATTGACTGTAAATATAAGTCAATTAATTCAAATGATTACCGATTGAGTGCATCGATGGCTCCGGGAGTCTCAGTGGACTCGACATGAAGTGTTCCGCTTAGGTCTATGAGCACTGTCTTGACTTTGGACAACATTTTATCTGTATTTTGGTCATCAAATTGTCATTTCATTTCAAACAACTTATTTAAAAACAATTTAATAGCAAAAACAGTGCGCATGTCTTTGACAAGTTTACATCAAGTTTACCATCATTACCATCATCTCTCATAACAAAACTTATTAATAAAAATTTTGACCACAATTTATATCATTCAATGACAAAACTATTAAATAATTATTTATTATTAGTCTTCAAATAATTGAATTCCTAATGAATTTATAGCAGTAATTGTTAGACTATTAATAAACACATAAAATGTATAAATATTGTAAAATAATAGAAAAATTGTTTTTCAAAATTTACAGAATTTTAGTTCAATTTTATTTAATCGGAAAATAATTATCAAAAAACAGATGTATTTAAATAAAGTAAAACTGTTTGACATAAATAATCAACTGATCCTTAATCACCGCCATATCCTTTGACATAATGAGCGATAGACCAGTTGCTGTCCAGAGTGAGCGGCCCCTCAACGGTTGCGCCCGACTTTTTGACGACCGCTAACTCGTATTTATTGAACGATCGGGCGTCTCGATAGTAGAGGACAGTCAGACATTTTTGGATCACTTGTTTTGCCTGTTCTTCAGTCAATTTACCGCCGGCCTCATCCAAAGCTTGGCGTAACAATGGTATGGCTATGTATGAGCCATAACCGGTAGCAATGGCCGGACACTCGTAAGCTGTTCCCAGTTTGTCAACGTATCCCAAAAATGGTTGATCTGAGAGAAGACAGAAATTAAAAAATAATTTGATATATGATATTATCTTCACTTCATAACCAATTCATACCATCAGAGTTAAGTCCGCCAATAACCCATTGACACCAAAGTGGATCAAATTTTGACCGACGATTATAGTGGACTCTTGTAAGCCACGAGAACAGAGCATTTGGTGTTAGTGTGTGGTCATCGTTATGGTTGTCCTCATCAATCATTTTCTGATCAATGGCTCGTATGAGAAACTGATAGTCAGCGATATCACCGCTGCAACCGACCAGACACTTGTCGTTCACTTTGAACACTCTCTTTGTATTGCGAAATCTGGCCAGAGATCCATAACTGGCCAATATATCGGCCGCAATAATAACGCCGCCGTCGAAAGCGATGCCCAGAACTGATGTGCCCGTCGTTACCGGCGATTGTGACCATTGACGGCTGCCGTCCGTCTCGTAACTCATCAATGTCTTAGCCATCTGTTTACTTGTTTCGGTTGATTGTCGTCCAAAATATTGGTCACAATTTAATCGGTAAATGAATGCAAACTCACTGTTAATTTACTCAACAAAACACAAATATTTCATTCAATTAATGCTTTGTCACTAATGTTTACATCAATTACGGCTTACATTCAGTGTTGTTGTCATTACAAGTGTTGCAACAAGTTTTCAAAATTTAAAATTACTTTATATTAATAACATTTCATCACATTTTCAATTATTTTGCATAAAAATGACAATTTATTTTAAAATTATAAATATTATGAATAATTAATTAAAAATATTTGGAATCAGAAAAACAATAATTTATAGCAATTGAAAACAAATTGACTGAAATAGGATTCAATTAATCAAAGAGAGGTCAAAGATATCCACATTATATATACTGTAATTAGTAAACAAAAAGAGTGCGACAATTACGGTAAGATGATATCATTAGACAAATATAATTTTAGTGCGGTTTTGGTTTATTTGCCACATATTGTTACTCTCGTACTGTTCAATGGCTTCTTCGAGTTCATCATTAGTATAGCCAAGTATTTTGCACCGTTCGATGGCGTCGGCCATTGAAACTTCACGCGATTTGGTCTCAATACTAATGTTATGAATCAATTGGAACACTTTGTCCGCTCGTGTCTGTGCCCGTTGACTGGGGTCCGAGTCATTGACAATACTGGACTTTGAGGATTCAATTAAACGCATAGCTTCAGTGATATCTCCTTTTTCGACCACTTCTGACAGTCGTAGGCGAGCCTTAAGTGTAAAAAATGAAATAACTGTAAGTTTGGGCAAAATTATCGGTAAATTAATATTCATAACATACCAAAGCAGTTGACAAACGCAATATAGCCAACAATGTACGGGCACTCGTGTAAGTCATATCTTTGTTATTTCGGGCGTCATTACGCATATCGATATAAGCGGCTACTATATCATCGGTCAAGAATTCGGGTACAATTGGATTAATTCTCTTAGCTCTAGCAATATATTTCTGCATAATTTGGATGTCAAGTGGTTGTACTTCGAGAGGTGGTTCATGACTGTTCTTATGGACGTAAGCGATGTGTTGCGCCAGTTTCAAGTCATTGTCGTGATCTGCTTTGTCTTGAATAAGCCAAAGAAGATCAAACCGAGACAATAGAGCGGCTGGTAATTGAATGTTGTGCTCAATTGACTTCTTAGGGTTATATCGGCCATAAACAGGGTTAGCGGCGGCTAATATCGAGACGCGTGCGTTAAGTGTGGTCAGTATACCTGCCTTTGCAATGGAAATGGTCTGCTGTTCCATCACTTCATGGATAGCCGTTCGATCGCTTTCAAGCATTTTATCGAACTCATCGATACAACAGATTCCTTGATCTGCCAATACAAGAGCTCCGCCTTCTAACACCATTTCGCCAGTAATCGTGTCTTTCATGACGGCTGCTGTTAGTCCAACGCCTGATGATCCGCGACCTGTAGTGTATTGACTTCTTGTGGAGATTCTATCAATAAAACCCAAGAGTTGACTTTTAGCAACTCCGGGATCACCCATAAGACAGATGTTAATAGAGCCCCTAATTTTCATTCCAAATGTGTTTTGATCGACGCCTCCAACCAATAGTAAAAGTAGAGCTTTCTTTAGATCCAAATGACCGTAAATTTCGGGCGCAATACTCGAAGCCAAGCGTTCAATATTTATGTCTTCTCTTTCAATCAATCGATCAAACTCTTCATCAGCCATTTCTTCATCTGTTTCTTGAGCTTTATTTGTCACAACAACTCTATGTGCTTCAATAAACGTGTCGGACAAGAGACCGGCCACCAGCTGTCGAAAACCAGTTCTAGCAATCGGTAGAAAAACACCGGTCACTGTTACGTGATCTCCGGGAAGGGCCAATCGGGTCTGTTGACCTATAAAAGCAAATATATCATATTAATAATTTTCTAAATAGTAAAATCGATACAAACCTCTAGCAATAATTGTTATACTGCGCGGCAAGTTTCCGATCGGTACGTGCTGGCTATGCTCCTGAATACGCATTTCCTCAAACTTGACAAACTTTGATCCGCGTGTTTGCAAATGAAGTCTACCGTTGGCCCGATTGGCTTTGCAATCATCGCTCTGACAGCGCTCTAATGGCATAAAAGATTGTGAACCAATTGGTTGATAAGTCTCGGCGGCGCACGTATCACATGTATAAGTGGCCACCATAAGCATCGGCTTTACTTCACTAGTTCGGGTAACAACACCCGATATGGTCACTAATTTGCCGATTTCTTTGGCTTTAACTTCACGTACGGCAACAGCTTTTTGATGAGATTGTGGTTTGAAATATAACTAAAATAATCAAATCGTATAATAAATACAATAAATGGTTAAACAGTTGACTTTGCCATCAATTTAAAAGATATCCAAAAACCATACCTCATATCTTCTCATAAGTTCCGGTGGATATCTGGACACAAACTCATCGGCATTGAGTCCTTCTTCTGTGCGCTTTCGTTGTTCAACTAGAAGTCGGTGATCAATGAAGACATCAAGTGAGTCCTTATGAGGCACATCCTGTAGTTTATAATCGGGTAAAAGTTGGTCAATGGCTCGAGAAAACAGCTGAACATATCGGCGGGTATTGTCTTTGATAGCCAAACACAGTGACGGGTCGTGTTTGTGGACGTCATCCAAGTCGACAACAAACTCGACTTCTTCACGATGAGCGACGGCCACCAACTTCTTGGCGTATCGACCACTGCTCACAATCTGACGGATCAAAGTCATGTCATTGTCGTAATCTCTAACAGACATCTTGTTGTTAGTTTGTGTTTTGGATCAGTTAAGTGATGAGACAATACAAGAGCCGATAGTTATTTAAAAGTCTTAACAAATAATAATAAAAAACTGTTTTATCGTTGAATTGAATGCCTTTTGTGACAAAAACTTTTTTGGCGCTAAAAACGTCAATCACTTTATTCGTATACTTTGTTACTCATTGACTGCAATCAAAGCACATATTTGTCTACAATGTGTTCATACAGTTTGTACTCTTAGTTTAGATATTTTACATAAATTGGCGCTATTTTTGAATAATAAATTATTGTATATTACAGTAAATTTAATACTTAACTCTTAACATTTAATATAATGTATAATAAAAGTTTATTAATCCAATACAAATTGTATAAAATTTATACTATTATATTATACAATAGTATAAATTTTATACACTATTTAAAAAATAATAATAATTCAAAACTGGTATTACATTACAATCATTGTATGGGTTATTAGTGGTCACACAACTCACACCTCTCAGTCCAAGAAATTTTAGTATTTATTGTATTCAATTGTTTTGCAAATTTGCCACAAATTGTTGTTACAACTGATTAGTTTGTTATGTATTGAAAGATCAATTGATTCAGAATAAAGACATTGATTGCACTGATAGGTCCTATTTAAAGGAAAGGCTTAACTATTGCGAGAATTGCATGAAATAGATATAAATTTTAATTATGAAAAATAATGTAAAATTAGTTTTTTAATGACAAATGTGATCCATTGGTGGTATTAAACTATTGCAAGATTTCAAGTCTTAATAACTATTATTGTTTTACACTTAATACAGTAGTTATGAAATAATTACAAATTTTATTATCAATAATAAGATATTTTAAACAATTTATTGACAGATATTTAGAGTAAAAGCAAATGAATGATTCAATAGATAATTATTTTCTGATTAATCATCATTTACTTGAAGAGACTTCATTAGACTTCATTAGTGTTTCTGATAGTTGTTTCATTTGATCACTACTTGTATGTATGTGCGCCCCAAACCACCAGTGCTCCCATAGCCAGGCCTACAATGAATGGCAGTGCCTTTTTGGTCACTTTTTTGATCATCTCTTGGGTTTCGGCGTTTTTGTTGACCATCTTTTGAGTGCTACCAATGGACTAATCTATATCTTAATTGTCATATATATTAAAGACAAACAGATTTGATTGAAATATAATTTGTTTGAAATCTATTTGAAATTTCAAAATAAGTTAATTTATTTAAAATCGCGTGATGTTTAAAAATTAAAATATTATCTAAATTAATAGTTTTTATTGTTCAATAATATGATAGTTTTTGTCATCAAATATACAGTATATACAATGTATGTAACATACAATACAGTATATATTGATAATTTTACTAAAAAATTATTCAAAAAAGTTTAATATTCTTCAATAGAAACTAACGGTTAATTCAAATAACTTTAGTATTGAATTATTAGTTAATGAAATTCAATAGTCATAAACATAATCTGACACTAAATATGACTGATTGTTCTGGTAATTAAAGATCATATTTTTTAAATATATGATAATTATATGATACTAAAGTATACAATTGTATTAATAGGTTATCGAAAGTATAATTGTATTGATATCAAAACGTATGCCATTATTGTTATATCATTCATCGTTGTTCTTGTTCTGGTCTTTGCAATTATTCGCCGAAGAAGAAGACGACCAGCTCATCGACCTATCGGACAAAAAGGGTCAATACGTGCGGCATATCAGTCACCAGTGCAAAGGCGACCATCCAATGGTCCCCAAAGGATAGGTCCCAATAGATCCAAATTTGATTAAATATTCAAATCAATAACCGGTCAAACAATTGAAAAGTACATTCAATATATGTTTCAAAAGTTCAATCAATTTATTAGTAATATATTTTATACTTGAAAATCATTTTTTGCAAACATTTGTTGCAAAACTAAATTATATTTTGCTTAGCATTTAATAAAAATTTTATGATTTATGTTTTGGTTGACTGTTGTTTAATATTTTACATAAAAATTAACCAAATTCTGTGTAAAAAGTATCAAATAAAATAAGTTTATTTTAATTTTTACTTATTTATTGTATAGAAAATCATTTCATAAAATAGATATATCTTTAATAAATGGATTGAATGTATGAAATGATAATTTCTAATAATTCATTTGATGTCTTTCAACAGTATTTTGGGCTCTTGTATGATAACTGTAAGACCCGATTGACGACAACCGATAGCCCAGAAAACCATTGTTCCGCAAACAAATCCAAAGATAAACGGTATGACACTATTGCTGACTGTTTTGACCACTTCTTCCTTTGATGGCAACTCCATGACTGATATTTTGTGACACTTTTGTATAACTGTGTATACAGTATTGGTATGTATGACAAACTGGTTTTAATTGCAATTAATATCCGTGTCATTCATCATTACATTCAACTGAGTTTTTAAATATTAAGTAAATTTAATTTACCGCATAATTATTGAGACATTGACTCTATTGTTGTCTTTATATAAAAAGCAAAGTTTAAGTTGAATTCAAATCAACTGAAAACCATTGCTATCGATGTCGAGTCTGAAGAAAAGACACTTCCGTCCGAAAATACTTATATAAAATTGAAATAATACTTAATTATATTATTGGTAATTATAATACTATAGCATACAATTTGTAGAAATTTGTTTTTGAGAAATAAACTTTTTTTTATAAAAATTTAATTACCAGCAATTATTATTATAATTATGATAAAATAATATTTTTATAACAATTTTTAAATTACCGTAAATTTATATATTCATTTAATTTCTTATATTTACACAATAATTATTGAATTACAGGCAATGCTATTTTAATTAAGCAATTTTAAAAATACATTTTATTTATATATAAAATGAATTAAAAATACAAATGAAAACAAATTTATGATGTCTTCAGCGGTCACTTTCTGAAAACACAAGTCATACAAACAAATAGTTTATTGAATAATACAAAAGATATTCATTTATTTTATTCTTGATTTATTTTCTCAATTTCATCGATGTCTGTGGCGTCTAATTTCAATATCTTTCGGCCAAAATGTATCTCTAAATCGGTTATAAAGCCAAACGTTTTCGGCGAATCAACAAAATTGATGGCCAATCCTTCTTTACCGAAACGTCCCGTTCGACCAATTCTATGCAAATACGTCTCTTTGTCTACTTCTCTGGTTTCAACATTTATTGGCAAATCATAGTTGACCACAACTGTCACCTGTTCGACATCAATACCTCTTGCCATTACATTTGTGGCAATTAGTACACGTTCTTGTCCTTCACGGAATCGCTGTAAAGCCAGTGTTCGCTCTTCTACTGACAATTCGCCAGATATTAAGCCAACTGAGTGACCATCCTTTAGGACAAATTATTAGCAAAATAATTAGCAATAAATAATATATTTATAGGCAATTAACAAATAAAACAAAATACAAACTTTTCGTAACTGTTGTGCTAATCGAGCGGCCGATGCCTTAGTGTGACAGAAAATGAATGCCTGTCCCATAGATATAGTACCAAATATATTGGCCAAAGCATTGTATTTTTCAATTTCATTATTACAATAAACATAATATTGATTTATGTTTTCAAGACTCTCCTCTTCTCGTTTCAATTTGATTATCACCGGCTCCTTAATGACCTGTTCGGCGAAATCCATCACTGGTTTGTCATAAGTAGCAGAAAATAACATCATTTGACAGGTCTCTGGTAATGATCTCTGAATACGAATAGACTGGTGTCGGTGTCCCTGAGTGTCAATCATAACATCCGCTTCGTCTAAGATAAACACTTTAACTTTCTTAACATCAAATGCTTTGAATTTAATTATCCAATCCATTAGTTTTCCGGGCGTTCCTATTATAACGTGATCTGCTATTTGCTCGCCTTTAAGATAATTAATAAAAGTTTATTTAATAATAACGATAACACAAATATAACTTTTATAAAAAAAATTCTTAATATAGAAACCTCTTTGAATATTCTCTCCTCTGACACCAAATCTAAATGTAATCTGTGGTATATGTTTAGCCATTTGTTTGGCCACTTCGCCCGTTTGAATGGCGAGTTCATAGGTTGGTGACATTACGATTACTTGAGGAGTGCGTTCAGCTGGTTCTACCCGGCAAAGACTGGCCAATACAAATGCAGCCGTTTTTCCGGTACCAGATTGTGACTGTGCTATCAAATTGATTGGTCTGTAAATAAATAAAAACAAGACATGAGTTAAATATTAGTAATTAATAAATGTATTAATAAAAACACAGACGGATTGGCTAATAGTAAAGGAAGTGCTGTCTCTTGGATTTTTGACGGCGCAGAGAATCCCATATCGTAGAGACCTTTAAGAAGCTCTTCGGGTCTAAAAATACGAATTAATTGACATTAATTAAATCATTTTATAGATTTACACAAAAAAAGCTAAATTACAGTCTCAGCTCTTCAAACGACTTAACCGAATATAAAGGATTATCGGGTTTACTTCGGTGAACCTCAACGTTGTTTTTCGTGTGAAGTAATTTATTTCTCAACACTTTTCTCATATAAGACAAGTCGGCCGTTGAAACTGAATATCATTTTGGAGACACAAAGTGGTTGTTGACAATCAAAGTCAATGACAATCAATTTAAATGACAAACCATTTTCATCAGCAGTCAATTCAGTTGTTGTCCCGTTTGTTGTCGATACTGATGCCGACGAATCACCGGCCGATAGGTTTATGTTTTCAATCTGAAGATTAAAATAATGATATAATGATTATGACATCAAATGATGATTAAGAAGACAAAACATGTGACAAACTTTTGTTGTCAATTGGTTTTCTTCGGCGGCTTTTGGCTTATCGTCAGTATTGAAGTCATTTATGCCGAGCGACTCATCCCAGTTGTCAATCTTTGTCGTCATTTCCATTACTTAAGACTTTCACCGAAAATCCAATCAACAAATAGTCTCAACAATTGGTTCAACGCTTGTCTTCAATGAATAACAAACTATTCAATGAATAGTCAATACATAATAATCGTGTTTTTAGACGTTTTTCAAAACGTCTAATTTGTAGACGTTATACACATCTATACATTGTATTTCAACTACAATATTGTGTAGACAACTGTACAGTCACACTATCAATGCACGTTAATGTATTAATAATGTACAGTACTATACATTGATGTAAATTAGGATTTATCAGTGATTTATCAGTGATTACTAATAATTATTTTATTAAAAATCTATGATTAGTGACAAATCAAATTCATAAGAAATGGCAATTTTACTATTAATAAGTACTGTATATTTGATTATTTAATGTAAATTAAATTAAATTTCATAACAAATTTGGTCTATTTTTGGTCAAATGTTGATTCATAGACATAGAAAATCTATTAAAAGTAATTTAAATTCAAAAATTATATAAAAATTATTTATATTAATTTAGTAAAAACTTTTTAAAAATTTATTTATTATGATTAAGTTATATTCAATTAGTTATACTTTAATTTTATTTAGATATACTTCCTATTGAGGTATTCTAGATAATTATAAGTTGACATAATTGTTAATATTATATAATTCAACATTGAATACCAATTTTATAAACTTTGTGTCATTTTATCCATATTTTTAATAGATTCATGAGATTGGTTACAAACTTTGTAATAAAAAGACACTTTTATTCTAATTTTTCATATTTTTACGTAAAAATTAAATATTAAAAAACGGACACATAAACAGACAGACATAACAAATTCAGATAAGAGATCCTTTTGATATTTGTGAAGATTTGTTAACATATAAAAAGATCTTTTAATAATGTTTTAAACTGTCAATTGCACCAAATCTTTGAATTGCTGAGCAAACTGTTCCAATTGTCGTCGAGTATAACCATCGCAAGGAAAGAGAAGAAATTGTTATACAGGAATACAATTGAGAAACATATGAATCGGCAATCAGTTACTGCTTTTGTTAATCCCATTCCCTCTCAATTCAGACAAAAAGCTTATGACATCTACGGAGACTTTGCTATCAATGAGGAACACATTATACTTAAATTAAGTTATCTGTCGAAAGTCACTTCAATATACTTTAATGGACTCAATAATTAAGATCTATTGCATGTCTTAGAATTGTTGGATCAGTTGATACAAATAGAGTCGAGAGAATGCAAGTTCTGACTACAAGATTCGGGAATTAAAAATTAAATTTATTTCATATAAATAGATGTCTTAAATAAAGTTATCTATTTGTAAATAAACTGATTACTCGTTTTAATTTAAAGTAAATTATAAATATTTTATTATAAATTATTTAATGAATTTATATTTCCAATATAACCCATATTTTATATATCCATCATTATATCTTTAAAAAGTTTTTTGAAAGGCATAGATTAAAAAAGATATAATGTTATGATATTTTTATATTAAATAATTAAAAAAACAATTTTTACATATACTGTACAATATCTTTTTTACGCACGTAAGTACTCTTTTATATTAAATTTATTGCAATAAACTATAATAACAAAACTTTTTTTAAAAAAGCTGTTTTTATATTATTTATACATTTACATTATATTAAGTTTAAAAAAAATAATTACAGTTATATGTAGCAAAGTTTTCAGTCAATGACACTAATTTACCGTAAAATCTATTGTATTAGTCGCGACTTATACAACAAAAAAAGTGATCTAGGTTAAAAATATAGACCTGCGACTTATACATGAGGTGCGACTTATATATAAAAAAAATTCAAAATATTAAAAATTAATTTCTATTTATTTAATAAAATTTTTATCACTAAAATCCTTCAAAATCAGAATCAGAGTCAGTATTGAATGCATTCAAAAAATCCAATTCATTTGAAACTCTTTCATTAGTATTGTCATCAGATTCGATGTCTGTCACCTCATGAGTAGCGTCTTGATTGTAATCACAAATACCGGCCTTTTTGAAGCCATTTTTGATACAATCAACAGACACTTCGTCCCAACTCTTCTTAATCCAACGACAGATCTCACAATAAGAAGCTCTTCTCATTGAACCACTTTTAGTGAATGTATGATAGCCTTCAATCATCCACTTCTCCCACTCTTTTCTCAATTTTGATTTGAATGACCGGTTGATAGTTAAGCCTGTAACTTTTTAGTTAATCCTTTCGGTATTACCGCCAAAGTCGACAACATATTAGCCTCCGATTTTGATTTTTCGGTAATATGAGCTGTCATTGAGTCATAAATAACAATCGATTTTTTATTGAAAAATGAGTTTTTTCTTCGTTTCCAAACTAATGACAACCACTCAATGAATACTTCTTCAGTCATCCAACCGCTAGGGTTTGCTTTCACTATTATTCCTTTAGGAAAATCTTCTTTGGGTATCGTTTTACGTTTAAATATGACCATAGGATCACATTTTCCGCCATCAGCAGTGACACACAACACAACCGTGAAAAAACTTTTCTCGTTTACGGTAGATTTTATTTTAACTTCTTTTGCACCAACTGAATCAACTGTGAAATTTCCAATAATATCGAAACTAACCGGTACTTCATCCATATTACCGATGTGTTGGTATTGAACACCATCTCTATTGTTATTCATATAAGCCATAAACTCAGCCATTTTTAGCTCCCAATTTTGTGGTAATTTCTGACCAATACTGGACACAGCTCTGACCGATAACTTGTTTCTCCGCATAAAACTGTTACACCAACAGTCACTGGCTTTGAAACCCGTAATCGACTTATTGATAGCAATCTCTTTGGCTTTTAACTTAATGTTGACTAATGTTACACGAAATCCTTGTTTTCTTTGGTCTAAGACCCAGGTCTTAATTTCTCTCTCGATTTCGGGCCAAAAACACTGGTTTCCTCTCCGGTTTTTTTTGTTAAGTATTGATTTAATTTTACGCCAATCTCTGACTAATTTCTCATTTATACCGAAATGTCTTTCAGCCCCTCTATTTCCGTCTTCGTTCGTCTCCGCAAAAGCAATCACTTCCAACTTCTTCGCTGTTGTGTAAGAATGTCTTACCATTTTGTTTAATGATATCAAACAATTGCTACAATTCAATACACTTTTGATGCATACAAACAATTGACTACATATGACATGAGTTACAGTTTATTAAAAAGTTGTGCGACTTATACATGAGGTGCGACTTATACAACAAAATTATTATAATTTTTATCAATAAATGACCTGCGACCTATACACCAGATCGACTTATAATTAAGATTTTACGGTACTTTAAATCAATTATTTCTATTTTTAAAATAAATAAAATACATAATAAATTACTTACATCTGTAATCAATAAGCAATTAATTTTTAACTGATTGTCACTAAGTGTACTGTATATCTCATGGATTGTATTATTTAATATTATTTAATTACATAGAAGTTACTGTAGTGAAGCTATTAATTTCATTTAATATATGATAGTATTGTATTACACAATACAATAGTTTTATATAATTTTTTATTAATTAAGTTTCATATGATATCTAATAATAGTAAAGTTTGTGTGATCGGTGCCGGAGCTGCTGGTCTGTCAGCAGTCAAGTCATGTCTTGAAGAAGGTCTTCAAGTTGTTTGTTATGAGAAAACATCAAATATTGGCGGTCTCTGGTATTATAGAGATAATGTCATCGATGGTGTGGGTAATGTCCAGAAGAATACAATATCCAATTCATCCAAAGAGATTAATGCCTTTTCCGACTTTCCCTATCCTAAAGAGTTTCCCAATTATTTGCCGCATAACAAAATGTATGAATACTTTCAATTATATGCTAATCATTTCAATCTATGGCCAAACATACACTTTGACCACACGATTCTTAAAGTGGATAAAAGTGATGACTACGAAACAACTCATAATATAAAAATTGTTGTCAAACATAACGATTTAGTTTTTACCAAAACATTTAATGGTGTTATGGTATGTACGGGTCATCACACCATTCCTCAGTTTCCTCAATTTTCTGGACAACACTTATTTAAAGGTTTGTATAATATTATAAATCTATAATTTTCAGTTGAATGCAATTTTTGATGATAATGTCATTTAAGGTAAAATTATTCACTCGCGAGATGTTAGGTCTCAATTAAATTTGAAGGAATATGAAAACAAAACCGCAGTTGTGGTCGGAATAGGAAACTCCGGGTGTGATGTGGCTGTTGAGCTCAGGTAGGATATTATATTTATCAAACTTATTTGACAAAAAAAAATCAAAATTAAATTTTATTATTAAGTAATTTATGCGATAAGACATATATGGCGCTACGTAGAGGCGGTTGGATATTACATCGTATGGGTCCTAATGGCTTACCAATAGATTATCAAATGTCAACCAGATTTAAGCGAAAATTATCTTCAATATTACCATTTAATATCATCTGTTGGTATTTTGAGATATTTCAATATAACTATCGTTTTAATCACAGACTTTATGGTATTGAACCCGATTTCAGATGTTTTTCAGAGATACCTATTATTAGTGATGTTTTGCCCACAAGAATCATTTGTGGCAAAGTTGTTGTTAAGAAAAATATTTCTGAATTTGTCGAAAATGGAGTCATATTTGAAAGTAAGGAATAATATATAAATATTCCTAACATTGAGTTATATCCTAAAAATAATTTTCAAAACATTAATAAAAAACAATAAAATTTTTCAGATGATAACTGTGTAACTAAATGTGATTTAGTGGTTATGGCAACTGGTTATCACTATTTATTTCCTTTTATCGACAAAAGTTTATTAGATCATAGGGACGATAGATCGCTAAATTTATACAAACAAATGTTTCCAGGACATTTATCACATTGGAGTCTAGCACTTATAGGTGCTGTTCAACCCAATATCGCCACATTTGCCATTTTTGAAATGCAGTCGCGCTGGTATGCGCTACTCATGAGTGGCAAATGTAAATTTCCGCCAAATGATCACATAATGGCTAATATTAATAAAGAAAATCAAACGAGAAAACAGCAATTTTATGACTCACCAAAAAATTCATTGGCAATTGACTGGTTAGCCTATATGGACGACATTGCAGACATAATTGGTGTCAAACCTAATATTAAACAATATTTACTGTCCGATACACAACTGTTTATAAAATTAATTTTTGGTCCCACACTGTCCTATCAGTATAGATTGGTTGGCCCTCATTCATGGTCAGGTGCCAGATATACTATAATGCAAAGCGACTATAGAGTTATGTATGCTCTCAATCCAAATGTAGCCAAAACTGGTCTTAAATTTTATCAAAATGCAGATATTATTCAATTAATATTTATTATATTTATATTCTTTGTTTTTTATACTCTTATGGATATATTTGACTAAATTAGTAAATATTATTATTTGATATTAGTTTATTCTGTTATTGAATAGTAATTAATATTTATTTATAATAAATTTTAACTTTTTAATCAAAGATATACTGTACAGTAAAAAATGCTAATAATATCTTTTTAAAAGTTTACTAAACATTTTAATTAATTTTATAAATTAATTTTTGTTTGTATCATGTAACTTTTAACATAAGTTCATAATGGGATAAAAAAAAGATTATTATTATTATTAGTAAATAAACTAATTAAAATTGAAGTTATTTTTTAAATATTAAATTTTCAAGGAGCAGATGTGGTTGTTATTTGATTATTGGTTAAAACTTGTTTGATATTTAGATTGACTAAAGTATAGTGTAATACAAAAAAGTAATAAGCGATTACAATAAGTGCGATAAATAATATTAATTGTTTTTTAATTTCAAAAAAGCGATAACATGTCAGCAAAATTGTATTCATTGATAATCGAGACAAAAATAATAACAACTCGTAATAATAAATGACATCGGATTTGATGGTTGAAGTGTTGGCCAACATTTCAATAGCTAAAACAGAATCTATAAATTCTGAGCTAAGTCTTGAAGCAGCCAACGGTACGCCAATATATATTAATAATGTTATACCCAATGCCCAGATAGAGCTTATCCATCCTTCAATGTTAGCTGAAGAGTATTCACTACCAATGATAATATTAACTCGTGTGCACAATGAGATCAAAACTAGGACTATCCATAGGAATACCATAAATGAGAAAATAAAATCCAATTCATAAACCAAAGATGACAACAATTGATGTCTATTCTTGAGTTCGCGGAGTCCTTTAAGAGTTAGTTCCCTTTTCTGTCTATTTTGAGCCATTGAAAAGTCTTTTAAATCTTTAAACATTATCTCAATCGAGTGACAGACCAACAGATATGTGACAACTATCATAACTAATGTTCCCCTTAAGAAATATACGTTTAACATAGTATCGACATAGACTACAATAATGGCTATCGTTTTGGACACTTGAAGGTCACCAAAGTTTACGGCAAACAAGTCTTCAGACTAATATAAAAAGTCAATTAAATATTATGTGAAAATACAACAAAAAATTAAATAATTTATAAGTAGTTAACCTTAACTTTGGAGAAATCAATAAAAAATGTGACGATAGCTACCAATAGATATATCCACGCAATGGTAATGACAGTCATGACACGTCTTTTGAAGACAACCGTGTAATCGCTGGCAAAACCATTTAGCGATTGAATTTGTAGCATAACTGAGCCAATCTGTTTTTGTCGATACAAAAATATGATAACTGTCCAAAATGTAATCCAAGAGTGAATCAGTACTTTGAGGTTAGTCCAGAAACCACCAGATGTTACAGTTATAGTGATTCGTATGGCATAATAGAGTATATATAATAACATAAAAGTGCTCAATAGATATCTTAAAACTTTTGATATCCGATGTCTTAACTGACTGTTTTGCGGGGCATACAAACGGGTATTTCTGGACTCAATATTTATGACGAGACCAAACATCCGAAGAGATAACACAAGTGAATAAAAAGGATTGTGAAGAAATGATTCAAAGATCTTAATCATATACATGGCGTGCATCGATGCCGCCCATCGTTTTCTGGCCCGACTCGATCTCGAGCTATTGACTCCAGGGTATGGTGTCGGCGATACGACATCACTCAGTGAATTAATTGTTACCGATTCTGATGGAGGCCGAGGACTGTTAGGTTACATAATGTTAGAAATGTTTTACTTACTTAAACAACACTAATATTTTATAATGTAATTCATGTACTTTTAAATAGTATATAATTTTAATTCAAATTAAAGTTATCGATACTTACGTTAGAGTATCGCCATAATTGGTGGTCAAATTCATTGTATTATAAATGAGATAAAAATTTTATTTATTGTTGTTAACTACAATCACTGTTTTCTTTTATAAACATAAGAAATATTATATTTTTAGAGTATATTAAGAATAATGTACTCAATAATAACTAAGTTGTGGATCATTACTTTATTTATTTAATCTTATTTATAATACTCATAATATTAATAATAAAACTAATGGATAAAATGTATCAAACAAACAGCTTAAATGAGATTTTTGTTTTGTATTAAACATTTTTTTTAGAAACAATCAATAAAACAATTGATAAAATAGATTACAATATTTCTATTACTCATTATTTAAAAATTAATAAAAAATGAATTTTGTAAATAAAAAAATGTATGAATAAAAAATAAAATGCAATTCAATTAACAATATATGAGGGAAAAGCCATCACAACGTCGATGTCTTCATTGTTAAGATTAGTTAAATTAAAATCATCTTTTAATTTTCCGATTGGCTTGAAATCAATGGTAGAGTTGTAGTAAATCTCTGGAGGAATGGCTCTGAAAAATATGCTACTATTGGTGTTGTTATTCAGTAGGTATGGCATCAAATGGCTAAGACTGGCCGCGTCTGATGGAAACGTGTTGTTTGTCCACCGCTGAGTGGTCACCATCGATGACAACATAGATATCACCACAATTATCACAATAATTTTGTGATTCATTGTTTTACTACTTTTAAACACCAGTTTAATAATACAAAACAATACTTTAGAATTTCAATAACAAATTTTGAATAATATTAAAATTTTAACCAAAAGTAGCGACTATTCAAATGACTTACAAATAGATTATAAAATTTGAGATACATTTTAAGTTAGACATTCAAAGGGTTAAAACAAAATCTAGAATTTTAATTCAAATTGAGTTCATGACATTATTTGACTATTTTTCAACTATTTGTTATTTTAATAAATAAAGTATTCAATAATTACTATTTATACTTTTACTATAATATGCTAAATTTTACTTTACATTTACATTGAGTTGATTTTTTAAAAAAATAAACATTTATATTAATTATATATAATAATATAAATTAAACTCAACCTCAAGACTTATTTATGTATTATTTTTAACTCTTATATATATATGATTATTACAATATTAGTAATAAGTTATTATATATTCATAATTATAACTAATAACATGTATATGATTTTATATAGATAAAACAATTCAATTTATTATATGTAATTATTAAGTTATTACTAAAATTTTAATAATAAAATTTGTAATTATAGTTTTATTGTTTAAATTACCTAAATTTTCTAACAGATGGCCAATAAATATAGAATTGATTTAGAATATTGAAAATCAGTAGTTGTCTGTCAATACATGAGATGGCAATCAGGCAGTAGTAGTTCCATACCATGAGCTCCGGTAGACTTGTATATGAAACGGCAAATCACATGTAAGATAAAAAGTTTAGTCTACTATAATAGAAGAGCCTATGAGTGGGTATTACATAAAAAATAGTATATTGAGTGCCGGAGTTGTATTGCGCTGTAAAAAATATTGGGGAGTCGGGAGAGAAAAAAGGGAGAGAGAAAGGGAGAGAGAGAGAGAGAGTTAGTGAGAGAGAGTTAGTGAGAGAGAGAAAAAAAGAAAGAAAGAAAGAAAGAGAGAGAGAACCAACCGGAGAGTTACTGAGGACTGGGAGAGAGAAACTTTTTATTGCAACACTGGGGAGGGATTCTCGCAATAATATTATGCCATTTCTGTGACCCACTGAAAACTGAAGAGACGTCACTCGGTTTTTGGCGAAAACGTGAAAAGTAGTGCTTTTTTAGGGCCAAACACACCGATGATAGAGAGCCCCAGTAGTCTATGTCTCCGTCTAAGTCGACACTGTTTTATATAATGATTTCGGAATAACTTTCAAATCAAACTCCATATATACTATTAAAAAAAGGATTTCTCAACAAATATATATCGATCGTTGAACGGTATGTACCAAATGTTTTGCACTTTTCAAATATTTTTTTAATACAAAAATTTGTTTACTTTTATCACAACTTTTTTTCATTAATATCTATTAAATAAATTCACGTATTTTTTACTGTTTCTTTCATTCATAATATTTCTAAGGAAAAAGTGCTGCTTTTATCTATTTATAGACACCCTATCATATAAACTCCAGTTCCCAATTAACACCAGGCAAATTAACTAATATTTTCTAAGTGTATATTTTTAGCTAAGTTATCTCGCATATTTTACATGAGTGCAATATTCTAGAGGGCGTATTTATTAGATAACTGTGCCAGAGAACAAATTACCGGCTTATTATTATTATTATTATTATTATAATATACTTTTAATATTAAATAAGTTTTTTTAATGATTTAACTTTAACTGTTTTGTTTTGTAATGTATGCCATTTTGTATTCATCTCAATTACCAATAAATTTAAGTTATATATGTATATCTAAAAAACAAAATCTGGCTATTTTTTGTTGTCGCTATTTTTACGGTCAATTTGCGACAAAATAACTGAAACATCATCAACAATATGGCTGTTTTACATATATTATAAATATATATATGACATGTGTTAGCTTAATGACATACTGACAAAATATTCAGTTAAAATTTTATCTTTAATATTAAACAAATTAATTTTAGTACAAATTTATTTTAATATTTCTGATTTTCTGATCAACAAATTTATAGTCAATCCAAGTGTTATATAATACAGTATATGGTTATTGCAAATTTAGAAAACAAATGTTTATTATTAAAAAAATATGAAATAACTTTTACATCACTCACTAACAAAAGCTATTTATTTTTTTTAATAAATTATTCAAAAAGAAAATCGACTATATTTTAGCGTAAAACATAAATTATACATGTGATGTTTTAATGGATTCGATACTATTTTCAATTGAGTTTTTTACCATTTGTACAAATTTTTATATGAGGCCAGGGAGATAGGGGCCAGAAAAAATTGTTATTCAAGGTACTAGACAGTCAACTAAACCCTTGGGCATCCCTTAGTTATTACTTTTATTATTAGCCAAATATATACATAAATATATGTTCTGTATATATACAGTATATGGTATATATGTAATAATAATATGAATGCAGACATTTAGTAAATATACACTTTATTGAAACAAACAAACAAATATTGTTATCAATGTTTATATCAATGGGAAATAATGTCAAAAATAAAGATAACAAAGGGTGATAATTTTAATTTCAAGTGTATGTTATTGTGTCTCATATACTGTATTAACTTATTCACAATATATATATAAATACTAACAATATTTTGACTTATATTTAATATACTATACGATAGTTGTATTATATTATAAAAACAAAAATAAATGAATAAATATAAACTGTTATCTCAAACTAATAAATTAAAATTTAATTATCAACAAAATTTAGTGTTTAATTGTATTTATAATGTATTTAAATGCATATATATATTGAAAATATATAACTGACAGTTAGTGTAGTTTTATTTTCTCTCAGATAATTTGTGTGCGAATGTGTAATGCCTTCAAACAAAATAAAGTTTTTATTTAGTGACCAAATGGTTGAGCAATAGGTTTAATCCTTTAGCTAAGCATTGGCGGACACCTGCAGACAGAAAAGCCATAAAACATTTTGTGACCACTCATACCCTCCCATACTTTCACAGCCCATCTCTCTCTCTCTCTCTCTCTCTCTCTCTCTCTCTCTCTCAACCCTTCACTCATTATTCTGTCTTTAAATTTCTTGCCATTATTTAAACACTAAAAATAAGAGTAAAAAGTATTAAATCTTATGTTCAGTCAAAGAGTTGTGTCACACATCTGACTGAATGAATGGTTAGAGGAATCTAAGGTATCAATAGTTTTGGACAAACAATAACTAGAAATTTTAACCCAAAACTAACTGAAAGACCAATAAATTGTTGAACGGATTGACATCTTAAGTATATCTTATTAGTGGACACTAAGGGTAATACTTCAGCAAAAAGAAATGCCATTTGCTTTCACGTAATGCTTTTGCCAATGAATAAGGGAATGAGTTAACAAAATAGTAACAAATAAAAGACTGAAATAAATAAATATTGAGAGAGAAAGAGAGAGACAGACAGAGAGACAGACAGAAAGAGAGAGAGAGAGAGAGAGAGCACTGATATACTGGGGTTCGTATCACTTAATGGAACAGTTGTTTACTTGAAAATATCTTTCAACTCTTAACGATCCTTATTTTGTAGTGAAGAAAAAAAACAGTTTTGCCTTTGAATTAGAAATACACTAAAAAACTGGTGATTTTCTCTACTCTTCACATATTTTTTATACCACTTTTCTCTTTCACTCTTTTTTTACTTCTTTAACAACAACTTGTTTACAACACACACACGGTTTGCTTATTTACAGTATATATATATATTGTAGACCTACCCGTCTCTCTGGGTTTGGTAGTAGACCTGTGCAAATCAAAAAAAGCACTGCCATTATTGCTGTCAAGGATAATATATTTATGTCAATTGTTATACCAATCGTTTTTTTTATATATTATTTGCTTTTATGTCTGCATTTGTTTTTTAACATTATTCTTTACATTATTCAAAACTTTATTCATAAAATGGTACATAAAATAATTGTATATTTAAAAATCTATTTTACAATAATATTTAGTAAATTATCTATTATTTAATTAAATATTTAAACTATTATTTAAATGCAAATCTTTAGAATTTTTGAGTACAAATACTTATATTTCTGTATCTATGGTTTGCCTTTTGATATGTTTAGACCAAACTATTGACAAAAATAAGACAAACAAATAAATGTCTTATCGTAAAGCAAATCATTAACAAAAATGGTTAATATTATATGATTGATATATGAAACATACTGTATATACAGTACAGTATTTATAGGAAGCACTATATATTTGAATATATGGTGTTTCCTATCAGGTCATTGACCCACCAAATATTTAGCTGTATTTTTCACTGTTATGAGTACATCCCGACCCC